AATACCCGGTACCTCAGATTTGGGTCTGGAAAAGGAATGTATTTGGACACCGCTTGCCTGGAAGAAGAATAGAATGCTTCACCATAAATAAGCTAGATCCTACCCTCTGTGTAGGTTATAAAAACATTATAGTTCATTGTGGAGTAAACAACATCAAGAAAGATGGGGGGAATCTTAAATATTGGGTAAATGAGCTGAACAAAAAGCTCAAGACTATAAGTGAATTGTGCCCTTACGCTAAAATAATTGTTTCACCTATACTGCCAACTAGGTCCTCCTTGCTAAACGAAAGGGCTATGGAGTATAACAGGTTTTTATTTGGATACTGTGAAACCAATTCTAGAATAGGAACATTAGATTTTAATAGCTTTGTTGACGAAGATGGTCTGCTGAATCAGCAATGTTGTAGATATAAGAAGCCGGATGACCCAATTCACCTTGGATCAAACGGTATATTTAAACTCTCCTGGGCTATTGCTCACAAGATATTTGGTAGCCTTGTTGACGGGAAATCATTCAGTGATGTTGTTAATGCCAAAGCCAAAGGCAGATTTTCCCCACGACCACGTAGATCTATATTTCAGTCATGATAGTTAGATTGACTAGCAGGAACCCGTCTAACCCTAAAATGGTGTCAAGACTCAAGAGACTAAAACAATTATTACCTATTTAATTCGCGTTTTTGACACCACTTGGGGTACCAAATTTTGGGCTCTAAAACTTCTATTTTTTGACCTATTTTTTATTTTTTCATGCTGATTTGGAGGCCATTAAAGCATTTGACCCAGTCAAAAAAGTTTCAGTTGTATACCTTTTACGGCTTTTGCAGAAATTCGCGTTAAAGTTGATGCCGTGGTGTCAGTAAAATGGCACAGATAAATATATATATATTTCATGGCTGGACTTCTACACAATAAAAGAAAGCGGTTGTGATTAGATCTTCGAAAGTCTTTGCATCGTTTATTTACATCAATTCTGAGAAATTATATCATTAAAGTAACTACAACAAATACGAATCATATACAATTGAGAATAAATACAAACTAAAAGCAGTGGGAAAATCTGATGAACTGAAATTTAAAAAAGAAACTGAAAGCCGTTAAAAATGTACTCTTATCTTATCTCTTATCTAAATACTGATAACTGATTCTCGGAAAATCACTTAAAATCACAACAAAAACCTGTAAAATTTATACTTAAGTAAAAAATGTAATATGCACGTCTCTGGAATAATGGTATAACTAAATAAAATCTACAAAATATACTAAAACTAAAACTAAGCTCCGGCAGATTTAAAAAGTAGATGGTTACTATCAAGGGTGTTCATACCCCCAAACCGTTCAAGGGTTTTCAATTGGGTCTGGTAGAACCCCTCTCTAGCTTCCATAGCCTTTTCTTTGTCTGCTTTACTAATATTAGGCTCAAATACTAAAGCGTCTACTATAATGACAGAAAGGTGCTTACTAAGTGAGGAATTATAGCAGGCTATGGTACTAAAATCTAAATCATGATCAATATCTAAAAAATGGTTAACTAATTTACAACTTCTTATACCTTTCTTTATGTGACTCTTATGGTTAGAGAATCTCTTAGGGAGATTTGAGGTAGTATAACCGACATACGACTGTTTACAAGTCTTACACTCCATTAAATAAATGAGGTTATAACTCTGACAAGATATATACTTAGTTATAGGGAAAACTTGTTTAGAATGGTGACTACTAAAATTGGAACAGGGGGACAGGAAATTTTGCTTACAAACATAACATTTACCACAAGCATGGCACCCTGGGTCGACAGCCCCGGGAACCGCCCTTAGACTTTCGGAGTCTGGTTCCTGGATCTGGCTTGCAGTTGTTTCTCTCTCATTATCACAGTTTAAAGTTCCACTGGCACGGTACTTATTGTGTACAAGCATGCCACCGATAGTTTGATTCTTTCGATGACTCACGAATACACTGTCCGCACGTACCAGCTTCTTCAGGGCCGGATCAAGGTTGAGAAGGTGCTTATACTTATGGATAATGCCCCCCATGTTGGGAAGTGCTGGATTTTGATCCATCACCATGGGTATTAAACAGGCAGTCGACTCATCCTTGTCTTTAAGGGTATACAAGTTTTTCCTATTAGCTATATCACTAAATTTGTTAAAGGCATCTTCTATAATACTGGAATGATAACCTCGGGCTAGAAGGTAACGTGTATAGACCTCTCTCTGCTCCAAGAAGTTAGTGTCTTCACTGTTGTTCATATATACATATATATATCGTCTCGCTTTATATATAGTAAGATATGTGAAATTTGCTGCTGCTGCATTAAACCTGTACGAGCTGGACACCCTTTCATAATTTGTCAGATGTGTGACAAAATAATGCACAAAAAATGCAAAACTATTGACAACATAGTTAAATTTCGAGATGAAATATACTGCAAAGTCTGCATTGAAGCCAACGATATTATTCGATACAACCCTTTCTACCAAGCTCCCCACTTTGCTAACAACGGCCTTATTGATGATGAGCCAGTTAATTAAATTATATTGAATCTATCTACAACAGCTCAAAAATTCTTGAAAACTACAAAACATTCTCCATAACAGAGTTGAATGCCACCATCTTGCCTGGAAATTCAGTCGAATATATGTCCACTTTATTCGTCAACATTGATGGGAATGCATCAGACTTTGACAACTTTGCAGTTGAGCAGTCAAGTATAAACCACAAGTTTTCTGTTATTGGTCTTGCAGAAACAAACACTGATGCTGACAATGGAACACTATATCAGCTTAGTGGATACTCCTCGTGTTACCAATCCCGTTATTTCTGTCAAGACAAAAACCAGTTTAAGGCTAAAGGATCAGGAGTTTGTCTTTACCTGAACAACTCTCTAAAACTTGTAGTTAATAATTTATTAATTTTGGCGGTAAGATATTTATATTTTTCCATATAGTGATTTGATACTTTGTACCAGACATGTGTTATGATGTTATGTCATAATTTTTACTTACTTACTTACTTACCATATATATTGCTCTTCAAGCAAAAACACCATGTAATCAGCTCAAAAGAGAAATGCTCAAGTAAAGAATGGACTCAAGTAAAGAATGGACTCAAGTAAAGAATGGACTCAAGTAAAGAATGGACTCGGCTCCAATATCTATGAGCAGTTTCAGGGTAAAACTTAAAAATTAACAATTGATATTTGATATAGTTGCGGAGAGAGAAACAAAAGAACTTAGTGTAATTGTTCAACAAATTGATGCGAAATACATGAAGGATAAAACAGGTATTGTGATCAAGTTGGAAAATACTGCAGCGAAGCAAGGGGAAAGACGCAAGATTTTCTTAAATCTCATTTGATGGATTTGATTTGTGTTGTAGGAGAAAAAGTTGTGGTCTTACGATTGCCTCGATCTTTCGGTTTCAGCTTAACCCCCTAGGCCCTAGGTCATGAGTAGAACCAAAGGATCAAAATATATGTTGCTTGTTGCTCGTATCAACTATAAAACGTCAATTTTGAGGGATAATGTCAATTAAGTGTTTATAGGTTCTGAAACCTAGTTAAATCGATTTCTCGTGCAATTTTAGGTCAGGAACAGTCATCAAAATGAGTTAATAACAAGGTCGATTTCTCGGTTATTTTGAAGCTTTCATTCAGAAAATAATTTGGGACCTTCAAAGGGGGGTAACAAGAAGGAGTTACAAGCGTTACAAGCGTTCCATAATACAAAATGTGCATCACCTCTTTCTTCTGCTGAACAGAACCTCACTATTAAAGTAAACAAATGTACCTCACCTCCCCAGGATACAAGGATACAAGGATACAAAAGTGATAATTACTTTATTGAGTACACAATAGTTGTAATACGTGATTTTCGTCCTCAATACTTCAATAGGCTTGATCCTCACGAGAATCCACATCTATTGTACAGGTAATAAACACATACCTTTGCTGTGATGCAAGGCAAATCACATACGACATGTTGATTGTGAAATTCAATTAAAAGTTCCTATGAAATCCTTGCCTCTTAGTACTGCTTCTGCGGAACACTCCTGGCCTCTAAAAACTCCTTAGTCCTTCCGCGGAACAAGTGGAATGAAAAGTCTAACTGATAGTGCACCGGCCCTGCTAGGTTCAAGCAGGAACTGTTACTTTCCTCCTAGAACTCATAGTGACCTCCTGAGGCATCCTGATGTAACCTCTTCTCGTGGGGTAAGAAGAAGGAGTTACAAGCGTTACAAGCGTTCCATAATACAAAATGTGCATCACCTCTTTCTTCTGCTGAACAGAACCACACTATTAAAGTAAACAAATGTACCTCACCTCCCCACGAAAATCCACATCTATTGATTGATGATAAATCGGTATGATCTGTAGTACAGTATGACTCATAGGCAAAAACAATCCTAAATTGCTTTTATTTGCAACTAGATTGTTTAATATTATTGTAAAACATTTGCATTGAATTGATAACTTTGTTTAACCAATAACTTTGTTTAATAAAACAAATATTTAATAAAACAAATATTTATTTTTACGGCACAATCAAACAATATCAATAATAAATAAATCAGGGGAGGTTTGAAGAGGTTTCAAGTGCCGAAGGCCACTGCTTATCTTTAGGATTTGAGAGTGACCTGTGCTTGAAACCCCCTCAACCATCCACTACGTCAATATAATACTTATTATACAAATATAGAAAAATATAATTATCTAAGCTAAAATTGCTTATTGGTCTAGTTTGGTGACATAGGAGAGCCCAGTTGAGTTTTAGTTTAGGTTTATGTTTTAAATCATAGTTTGAAAGGTTAGCCATGTTTCATGGCAGAGAGAGATATCATGTGTGCAGAGCCGTACCAGATGTAGAATTTGAGATATAATAATAACTGATAATGCCTGCTTCATTTTAGTGTGGCACTGTTGTGGTTAATCATAGTTTTACTGTCATATTATATTATATTGATCCAACAACGAACAAATAACGAGTATTGATTTTCCTTATTACTTTAGCTACTACACAAAATGACGATGCAAACGGAGAAATTCATTGACCATTTTTGGGTTTGTCTTTTTTAATTTTAGAGTTTTAGAAGCTTCTAATTCTTGGTATGTCTTTATGTGGACTGATCCATACTGCAGAAATATTTTAAGATACATTTTGATTTATATATCGTATTATTCGTATCCATATTACATTACTTATTATGACACGTTTATTTCAGGGGTCGGAATTTAACAGCACAACTGGTTTTGACAGACTAACACAGAAAATGAAGCAGAGTAAACTGTCAGTCACTGATTATATAGAGTTTGTCAAGAAAAGGTCGGTACTGTAAAAAGTTTAGTTTTCAATCTCATTATGATCGACGAGCTGGTCCTAATCAAAATCAGTCATTTTTTGTAACACTGATTCCATTCAGAATTCACTATTTGACTAGGATGAAACCAGGATTACTACACGTCATATCAAATTTGTAATTTGTATGATTATAGCTTCTAAAGTTTTGTTGTATACTGTCTGATGATCACTGAACTTTCAGGTCTCAAATTGAGTTGCGATATGGACAAGAAATGTGCAAGCTTGCAAATAGTGTTCTGGGAAAGGGTGAAGTAGGGTATGTTTTCGCCGGCAAAACAGGGCATTTTGCCTCCTGAGTTCAATAAACTTCACTATCATGGATAACAATTGTAAATGAAAATAAAAATATGGTCTTACATCAAATTTATACTTCATAAACTGATATTAAAGAGTCTTACACTTATCCTAGTTTTTAAAATTTTAATTTCAGAACATTGCACAGCAGCCTAGAGATTTTTCAAAAAGGTATTTTCTAATTTGTTTAACCACTTGTCAGCTCATGGAAGATCTTCAATTCAAAACATCATAAATTAACAGCTGATGGATCGGCATGGATTATTATCAAAATACCTACTTTTTCTTCTGAACGGAAAATGCACCCTGAGAAAAAATATCTCAACATGACTGAATATTATCAGAATTTTCCGGGTTCAGTTGTCAGTTGTAAAACTAAAACATGATTTCCCTTATCATATGTTCTTGTATGCCCTTCGAGAAATTTCTGTGACTGAGTAACATTGCTGATAAAACTTTAACAATCAAAAACACTCAGAAACGGACGAGATAGGGAAACTAGCAATACAATGCAGCAAGCTGTTAACTGAGAACATACAACAAGCTTTAACTGAGTTCAGAGATAATCAGAGGGAAACTAGACGACCTTACGAAGACAATGTTAAGAAATCAATACGAAATAAGAAGACTTGTCACGACCAGATGCAGAGGGTGAGTTTAGTTTGTAATCTGAGGACCAGGGGTACTTATTTTTCGTTGCTTTTTAACTGACCGATGTATCAACAGTATTGAATTAGTGGATTTTTCTTTGTATTATTTCATGATTTCCGTAATGACCAGTTTTAACTAAGATTGTATATTTGTATAATATTCTTCAGTTTGAAGAATGCTTGTTTTTTGAGTTACATATTTTCAGTGCAAGCAAGCTTACGAGCGTGCATGTTTAGAGGCAGATAAGAGTTCGGAGATCCTTCAACAAAACATGACACAGCCCCAACGCAAGGTGGACCAATTGAAAGCTAAGATGAAGAGTTCTAGGCTAGCTGCTGAAACTGCAAGTATGTATTATATCACAGTGTTGTTTAACTGTTGTTTAACAGTGTTCCTTAGCCTACCACTGTCTCATTATTCCTAAGAGTTTATCCCTAAGTTTAGTATGGAAAGATGTTCTACAAACCTATACGTGACCCGTATACGTGACCTGTATACGTGACCCGTATACGTGACCCGTGCATATTGTAAGCGGTACGGGATCATGACGTCACTGACAAAGGAGACAATTGCCAGTCCTCGCCTGTGTGTTTCTCTTGTTGCACGGATAGTGTCACTGTATACATTTTCAGATAAAGAGTATGAGGAATCAGTGAAGACTCTGGAGGTCGCTCGCCAGAATTGGGAAAATGACTACTCCCTCTATACTAAGGTTTGGGATTATCACACCGGTAACTATCTCGTATGATAATTATTTTGCCTTTATATTTTACCCTGAAAAGTTACTTTGACACCGATATTTCTGTCAAGTTTATCAATCCTGTTACAACGATTGTTATATAATATGATAATATTTTGAGTGTAGCGTGTATGATGCACTTTAGCTCATGATGAATATAACACCAAGTCTATGTGTATTGTGTGTATTGAGAGACGGAAGTCAATATTCCACATTGTCTTAATAAAGTCACAATTGCACTGTGCCGACGACAGAAAACAAAAAACCAAAAGTTAATTTTCATAATTTGGGAACTGCATGTGATAAAAATTGCATGAGTCCTCAGATAACAATTTATAAGATCAGATATAGCCTAACTGTAGCCTAATTATTTTAGTCTAATAATAGCCTAATTATTGTAGCCTAAAAATAGCCTAATTATTTCAGAAGATGCAGTCTCTGGAGGAGGATAGAATTCAGAAGTTAAGGAACAGTTTGTGGAATTACACAAACATCTGCTCACAAACACTTGTTGACAATGACAACCGTCTTGAGGAGGTAAGCAGTGTTATTTACTGTTACAACCCATGACAACAATAATACAATTTACTCTGGAGTCTGGAATGTACAGAGGCTGTTAAATATTGTGTCAAAATTTTAATGTAAAATATCTTCTTTTGTAAATAATTTCTAAACAGATCAAAAACAGCACACTTGGTGTGGACTATACGGACCTAACAAATACTTTAACATATTGTGATAGAGCCAAGTTTAGTACTCAATGTATTTATTGGAACAGTGCGAAGTGTGGATACACACTGTGCAATGTGTATTCACATTTTGAATATGGTGCAGTGCGGTATCTGATATTATGACTTTTATAACATGATTACGACCAGGATTCCCGGCGCTGGGAGGCACTTTCTCCCGGCCCCGGTCGTTAACTGACCAAAACTGTGCAAAAAGTTGTAAACATTGTCACTGTGAGACACATTGTACGTGTTTTAAGACACACTTATTAAGTTATTAGTTGAGGAAAGGAAAGGAAAAAATTACTCATTAGTCAAAGAATGGGGGTAATAAAATTGGCCTCCTGATTAATAAGATTTCCTCCTTTCCTAACGATAAAAGATACGCTTGATAATATCAAGGCTTCTTCTAACCTTATTAAATCAGTTTTCGCTACTTTCGCTTTGTCGGAAGTTATTTGTCGGAAGTTCTGCGGAGTTCTGCCCTCTCTCGTTTAGACAGTTTCCAATTTATCTCACACCTTAGGGTCACTAAATTTGGTCCACAATAAATTTGGTTACCATAATTTTGGTTACCCTAATTTTAGTCACAAATTTCGCAAATTTTTAGTCTACAACAATTTTAGTCACATTTTTCGACTTTTCGAGACCATTTTCCATTCCATTTATTTGATTTTTCCTACCTAGTTTTTTTTCCGATTTCGCATATAAAGTCATACTTTATAGTTTAACGTTAGGCATGTTGATTAAATGATTTGTTGCAATAAAGAAATAAAACAAATAATTTGTAAAATAAAATGATATCTATCAATTTGGCAATGAGCACCCATCTGAGCATTACAGATTAAGCTGCAATGCAATACTCAGGAATTTCAATAACATAAAATCCAAAGTCTGTGACTCTGTATCACTAAGTTCTTCAGTACGCTGTTCAGTTTCTTTTTCACCCTTATGCCGACTTAACCATTTCTGTCGGTACGACGTAGTTTATGTCGATATGATCCTTCAGCCGTTTCAACAGAGCATGTTGGGATGGATCGATTAAAAATTTAATGTCCAAGAGGAGCTCTAACCCTTTAAGTGCAATAGGACTTTGGTACAGTTAGTTTCACAACGGTCTTTCCTCCCAACAAAGTAGTTCAGCAGTAGGAACGGTAATGTCATTATATTAATTATATGAACAATGTAAGCTCATTAATATTCATGCCATATTTGCTCTACTGAAATTTTGGTCTCCTTTAAAATTAGTCGGCGATAAATTTAGTCTCATGAAACTTGGTTTATAACTATTTTAGTCAAAAGTTTGACTAAATTTATGGTAGACTAAATTTGTCGTTCTTATTAAGGTTCAATTTTTCAGTTTTTTATACGGCAGAATGATAATAATCTGATAGTAATCTGTGGTGTTAATATTCCGAAAACAGAATCGCGTGTATGGTCATTAGTGTGCTCCACATACCTACCTACGAGGATAAATATTTAGTTTTATTAGGTATCACATATCACACATTTTTGTGTTGAATAGTAACGCTGCAGTAATGTAATCCTAGCCGTGAAATAACTCTGGAATGTACTCTTAATACTTTATAATCTTTTAAGCAGAAAAGCTTAGTGGATACTAATTTCTTATCCATATTTTTTTAATTATTAAGTTATTTATTCCCCAGGTTAGGAAATCTCTGGAACACTGTGATCTGAGACATGACCTTAATTTGTACATAAAACAAAACAAAACTGGGACTAACCGACCGGGTAAGAGGAGATAATGTTTCTTAAAATAGCATAAACAATTTGTTGAGTAGATATTTGTGCCGGACATTTTATAAATGTATTAATGAATACATTCATCTCTGAACACCGAATTACTTACACTTATACTCTACGCAATGCGTGTTTCAATAAGGAATAAATGCTGCCATGCAGATTAATACGACTTTCTAATTCTGACTTTTGAATTCCTCAGAGGCGATAGAATATGAAAACTACTATAACTCCAACGTTCGTATTGATGATGAGGTCAAGAAAAACAGCCTCCCCAAAGGTCAGTCTAAAAGGACAATTAATTAACAATCGACATCTCCGACATTTTAATGCATCAATTGATTAAAATAATCGATTGAACGTCTAATCCATTAATTAATTTGCTCATCTTCTCTTGATTGATGTTACCCAGGTCCTGCGCTGAACTACGAACGTGTAGTAGCGATGTACGAGTATAAAGCCCAGGGACCTGAAGAGCTGGAGCTTGCTCCAGGGGACTTGCTGGTAGTCGTACAGAAAGTGGATGATGTGAGTTTGAAAGTTGTTATCACTGTTGATTTTATACGTTCATGAAGGGATAGTGGCTAGCATTAATTCTCCTGAAATATATCTTTCCTAAGAACGCTATACCTGTACGTGTACAGTGTACACGCTATATTTTATTCACATTTTCTTCCTCACTTCCTACCCTGAAAGGAGCTACAATGTAGCTGCTACATAACCTGTACTTTGAGTAACTTTACTACTGTATGCCCATCGGACCATCAGGGAATCAATAAAAACCAAATACTTATTGCCACGCGTAGATCCTGATAATTTCGAAGTTGGAGAAGTTGTGGACTTTATTCTGACGAAAGTCGTAGAATGCTATTACACCTGAATATCCATTATTTGGTCCGGCCCGGACACAGTTCGTAATTAGAGGTCCTTCAAAAATTACGTAAACACTTTTCGGCCAATTTTCATCCCCCTTCCCCCTCCGTAATCAGTTTTACAACACTATTGTGTCCAAATTAAACTAGCGTAATCATTTAGAAACGCCCCCCGCCCCCCCCCCCCCCCCCTCTGTGATTACGTAATTAGTGAACTACCCTTACAGGAAACAGAATTCTCACCTTGAGTCGTATCTTGTACGTTAACTATGTGCTAGTTTAGTGTAACTTAACATGGTAAGATAAAGGAGTCACACATAAAGTTGTGCATGTAGTACAGTAAAATACCTCAGTAAAATACCTCTTCTTACTCAAGAATAACCATTTCTTCTCCCAGATGTGGTGGTACGGAAAGCACAAGAACGGAAATGTCGGAGTATTTCCTGTTTCCTACGTCCGTGAGATCCCCATGTCATAACAGCTCTGTTTAGATTTCAAGTAGACTAAAACGATTTCCAGACATCAAGGCCCTGAGGGGCTAAATTTATGATATACTGATTTTGTACATTTAAAATGGAATCAGAGATATTACCGAACCATAAGATAAATTCGATAATCGACTTTAACTCGCTTTGCTATCATTTAAAAATATTTCATTGGATTTTACCTAGTATGTATCAAATGTGTACATTAGTGAGAAGCTGTATATCGAATATCAGTTATAATGTAGTGTTGATAATTTGAGCAGCTCTTGCTAGTTTTGAGCCTCAATATATGAGTATCTCCGCGCGTCACGTACGCACTGTCTGTTTAAGACGCCGATTACTTTATCATTTGCAGCTACGTTTAATATAATTCATCTTCAAACTAGTTCCTTTATGGGGAATTCCGCTTTCGTCATAACTGCAGTACTTCTTCTGTTTTTCGGAGATTGACCTTATTATTTATAAGTACATTACGAGTATTAAAGTGTATTCAGTAACCAGTTGACGCTTGTGTAAAGCATGTACGGAACATAAAGTTTTCTAGCATATAATTCGCTATATTACTATTAATGCTTTTCAAACAAAGTTACAATGAATTCTTCATGTAGTGCATTACTATGTTGAGTACGGAAGTTACGTGTTTTTTATACGAAAGTTACGTTATTTTAAGACTTAACTTAGCAGTGAACTTACTTACCTTATGTAATCAATTTAAATTGTTTGAGCATGGCATGAAATATGATCATTTTGAGAGTAATTCTGCGCTAATGCATAAATGTCAATCGATTTTCATTTTAAATGATCTGATAACAATTATGATTCGTTAAATTTGTTAAATGCTAATGTTGAAATAATTTTAATCTTATAACTGTGGCTTTTTATTTCTTTTAGCGCAAAACAAATTATCAACGGGCGGTGCATACCATATGACATAATACATATAATGAATTACTATAATCACCATTTCATCTGGTTCGACCTAATAGTTTTATCATCAAAACTAATTTTTATTTAGATACTAAAAAGAAAGTGGAGTTGACCGTACTCCAGGACCATCAGCCAGATCAGATCCACGGCAGTGGGACCCCTAGTTCCGTTAGACCCAGTCACACGGCAGGATCTAGCAGAGCTATGAGGCTGGCACGAAGAACAGGTAACATCCCACCTTGCTCCCCCGGCCCCCGACGTGTTGCTTGGCCGACTAAAGTCATTAAAATGGTTGCTAAAATCCGATTTATGGTTACTAAAATCTGATTTGTAACTTTAAAATCCGTTGTGTGGTTGTAAAATCACGTCTGTTGTAGTTCCGAGTTCCGTCATCCAATCATTCAGTTTCCGTAAGGGGGTTTCCAAGATCTGTCAAGTCCATTGTAATCACCATGATGTGAGTCTCACTCGCCGATGGGGATGACTACATCAGAGGAGAGTGCTGGTCGCACTAGCAGGGGTGGGAGGCTGCTTACTCGGCTCATATCTGCCTGGAGAGCTACATCCTGCTTTTCCATTTCTAGAACGATGTCCGTCTGAACTCCTTGTTCTGATATCCTGTGCGCGATTCTTTGCGCGAAAACTGTCTTTAGTTTCCTATTGATCATCATCTCGAACTCTTTGAACGTTCGATCGTTCACAATGTCCAATTCTCGTATCTTGATGATCGTAGATTGGAGTCGAGTACATGCCTGACGGCTGTCCGCTCTCATGGTCTTTACTAAGTATATGAAGAGTCCTAGAAGAGCACTTCCTATCATGAGAATGAAGATCGCAATGATCAGGAGGGTTGATTCTTCCATTCTTGAAAATGTGGATTTTCTTTGAAATGTGGGTTGCTGGATCAAACGATCTAGCAGATTCAAGCGTAATGTAAAAGGTACTAACGAATCTGGAACGATAATTTGTCGCTAGGATATTTAAAGCAGCACACGTGCATACTGCATTTTTTCATTTTTTCTAAACTTCATTCATCATTGGATCCGCATTCCGCACGTGTAGTTTGGTGCCAATGTTGCAAGCATTTGTTCGACTTAAGTGAAAATGTAAATAAATAGAATTCTTCCAAAAATGTCAATGACATGATATTTTCATGTCGCCATCATTGAACGTGTAGCCAACATAATAGCCTTATATATATTAAGCCTAAGTTGGTTTATGTGTTGGTGACTGTGTTATATTTAATGGATTATGGATCGTTCACAAATTATAAAAGCCAAATTTTAACTATTTTATTTATAGACCCCTCCCCCATTAACTATCATCATCACGTAAAGTAACTTAAGTAAATTTTAACAATGGCTTGGTTTGTTTTCTGCACGATTAAAATACGATTAAAATCCGCAAATTTAAACTTTTCCATCGTGCATGCATGGTTGCGCGCAGCTTCAAGTCATGTCAACACTCAATGGATACAGCGTCACTTTATTGTACATTTATGTCATGGCGTGCTACAACTTCAATTATTCCAATCGGGACCGAAATATCTGGCTCACTTTAACCTTGTTTCATCACAGATGTCCGAATATCACAACACTCGCCATCTCACCGTGCACAATATTATGCTAATATCGTACTGAGGTCTTATGTTTCCTGTTTTTTTAAACTACTGTGAATCGATTCCTGCCAGACTCACAACACTTACGTTTAAAGTTTACACAATACACATGTCCTGAAATTGGGGTAGGTTTATACAGATCTCTACAGAAAAGTCCTGATCAAGACGATACACCTTTTCTTATTTTTGTAGAGACCAAGAAGCAACTAAATATGAACAATTGAACATGCTTTTAAGTTTTAAACACGAATCTTGCACATTCAATAAGGAGGACAATGAACAAAATAGAAGACTCGACATTAAATAGAAGACTCGACATTCGACAACTGGGATAAAAACAAAACCTAGAATGATAAAATTTCACAGATGTGTGAGAAGTGTGACCGCCTTAGTTGTAAAACATGTCCTATATTGTTTGATGAAGATGAGGCGTGGCTATATTGAACATTTAAAGATAAGTTTAGTTTCGAAATGTTTTAAGTTATTTTAAAAGTTTGACTTTTTAAAAGTTCTAAAGAAGAAGTTAAAAGAAGTTAAAGAAAGTTGATGTGCTGTTAAGGACAAGCTGTAGCAAGTTTGGGCAGCACACCGTACACCGCGGTACAGCTACAGAAGTTTTAGACAATACAATTATTGTGCTGCTTCTCGCCGTCCTTGCCACATTTATACTTACCCTCCTACTAAAAAAATGGTAAATTGGTTTAATCTTTTCATTCTCAGCTAGACAGACATCAAGCCACAGTTTGTCGTGCAAATTTTAAGAAAAAGAAAGCAAAACTTGTGGAGAAATGTTTACAACACGAAAAAGATATAAATAACACTGTTATACAATATCACTACTGCTATATATCAATGCTTCTTAGAAATCAGAGATATTCAAAGAAACACAGCTACAGATTCTTCATTTAAAAGTCGCACAATCTGCATGATCTACAGCATCAAATCAACATAATATAAGCTAAATGTTTACTACAAAGTAATAATAATAAATGGCTGACAAGACCATTACATCACCATGTCATTGTCATCAAAATATCACAACTTATTTAACCCATGGGCGGAGCTGTGGTAATATCTTGATACTGCCCCCCCCCCCCCCCCCCCTTTGTATCATGGCGTATGCTTCTTACTAAATCGATAAATCGCGCAAAAAACCGGTCATCAAGCGAACGGAAATATTGCGGTAGTACAGCCGCTGCCATCGAAATCTGCTGGTATAACCCAAAAAATTGTTCTATTCCGGTTTCATAAAATGTCTTTCAAAATTTCAAAATAAAAATGAAGGTATCGAATAGAGCCTTAAAAGATTTTGATTTATATAGAAAATTTAAATCTCGTGAAGTCTTGATATTTACGCATATAAAGTAGTCGTTGACATGAATAGATTTTGAAGATAAAATCCATCGTGTTCTGATGATCAAGTTGTGATGGTTCTAATCAGGATTTCTGAGTCCGAAGTTTGGGAACGATTCCAATTCCAAATCTGTTCTTTTTTATATCTTTAGAACGACACGTTGCTAGCTGATCTGCAGAGAGTTTAATTGTTATATATTTTTGTTATTTATTTATATTTTGGAAGTTTAATTGGTGACTAGACTTAATTTTTCAATGAACCAAACAAAAAGATTCTGACTTCTCTGTCTACATGACAAACTTGAACCTACACATAGCTGAACTGCTATCTAGTGCTACAACAATATCAATATAATACTAACAAACCACAAACCTGTCATATCAGGAGGTTTAATAAATCCAACTCGCCCCATACTATAAGCAAATAGAGAGATTCCACTGACATCAGGTAAGCTCTTCTGTTTGGTAAGGAGAGGGTTAACAGTTCCAGGGCCCAGGAGGGGGGACCCGGAGTGATGGGACCGGAGGGAGGCCCGGGTATTGGGACGCCGTAAACTGGGAGTTATATCTTGTTACTTTTAATAAATGGGGTATGATATAGGGTAATAAAAGGGTATGATTGTAACCAAGAAGCCAGATAAATTTGGCGCAATGTCTCAGTGTTACTCAGGTTACTATGCGACCAAATACAATTGGAAAATCGAATTTAAAATTATTATTGCGATATTGGGTTTCATGCATACAACAGAGATTTACCAAACTAAAGCTGCATAGTTACGATACACAATAGTGACGATTCTCTCCATCAATGTCTCTCTTAATGTAACTTATAGAATATAGATTGAATCCAGTGTACCGAAGTCAGGTACAATGGTACACTAACTCTGATTTTAACGCAGTTAAGGAGACTAATGGAACTAAATCTAACCGGCTGAAAACCTACCTCTTAGTAGACCACGCAGAGTCGTGAACTTTAGAAGCTCTGTGATCGAACTGTATGGAGTCATGAGAGTGGCTCTCAGGCGGAAGTCTGGAGCTTGGTCGGGAGTTAGGGAGTACGGGACGGGAGCTGGGAGAATGAGTGTCTCTAACTGTTTGAGGTCTTCTCACTGGACCAGACACCTGAATAGGGGTCACGTGGTAATTGAGTTCGTCCCCCAGACCTAAAACACATCCCTACCCTAAATAGCCATTCAACTACAGCAGAGGGTATTTGAGTGAATAATGATTGAATAAGACTAAAATCAAAACGATTAACACAAATTATTTCTAAAGCTACAGCTTAATATTCATTTCCAGCTAAACCAAGATTTTAAGAGTGTCCAACAGACACAGCAACATATTTGTTTACCGAGACCCCCCACTAACACCGTCCTGTATCCATGGCTGAATCTAGTGTGCATCTAACTGTAGAGCGCAGGTAAATTGTCCGGAATGAGATAAGCTACATGATAATGTCACAACTCACATCGCATAATATAGTGTCACGTGACAGGTAGCACAACAAGTATGTTAGCAAGCCAATATAACGTTACTATGCTTACACTGGGTTTATCTATAGAATTTGTTTTATTTTCAATTTGGAGAAGTTGTGTAGATAATAGTTTAAGCAAGGTTAAATATAATAAAGTTGGTCTGTAATATGCAGTCTCCTAAATCTTTATATTAGCAACTACTTAAATGCTAACTATATATTAATGTTCATTCGAAATTATTAGATTTCACAGTCCACTTTAAGGTCTTTTCATTTTCGTTCTATTCACAATACAGTTAAATTACATAATTATCTAGCTAACTTAATAAGGTGAATGAGATTCCGTGACAATGAACTCTCACAAAACTTGGCCAGACAACTGGCACAGTGAGTTTGTTCACCCGGACAAACAGTACAAATCCTCCTCCGTCAAGATAGAAGCAGTTCTCTACTCTGGAGAGAGTGAGTTTCAGAAGATATCAGTGGTTATGACGTCATCTTACGGGCGAGCACTCCTCCTAGACAGAGTCATGGTGAAGACAGAGCGGGACTCCTGGCTGTTTAACGAGATGATGGGCTTCCTCCCGCTGGGGATGGTGAATGAACCACGTGACGTGCTGATAGTTGGAGGTGGAGACGGGGGTGTAGCAGGGGAGATTCTCAAACACCCCACTGTGGAGAATGTTGTTATCATAGAGCGGGATCAGAGGGTGGTGGATATCAGTATGAGGTATTTTGAGGACAGTTCAGTGAGTATCAGGGACTCTAGAGTAGAGGTTATTGTAGGAGATCCTCTGCTGGTGACTCAGAGAAGAGGCGAGAAGTTTGATGTGATAATTGTGGACATGTTCTCGGACATGCGGAGTCCGGCCCATAAAGTTGTGGCTGCCGAGCTGCTTCATGGTCTACAGTACATCCTCAAAACAGAAGGAGTGATCTGTTACCAGCAACCCTCACCGCTGGTTAACGACACTGCGCTGCGCGAACAGATGCGCATGTTCCACAGGTACTACCCATCAGTTGGTTACGCACTAAATATAGCACCTACCTTTCCACAAGGCAGTGTGGGGTACGCGCTGATGTCACGTCAGGAAGGGGTGGATTTCTCAGTTCCAAAACAAGGGTTCGGAGTGGAGGAAGCGCGGAAGCTGGGTCTGCGGTGCTACAACACAGAGGTACATCAGGGTAGCTTCATGTGTGTGCCGAGTATAGTTAGGGACATGGTTAGTGAGGGGCACCCTGATACCCCCTCCACTGAGACCGCTCCTCCGGTCAGTGTCAACAAGAAACATATCTACAGTGTTCAGAGCATGTCCACCAGACAGAAATCTGTACGAGATAATTAGATTCTAATTAGGCGTTCTACAGCAGACGTTCATTAAGAAGCTAACTTGTAATCCAGTTAAAACGTTTGATGTGACAACGATTATTGCCGCACTAGAGGAATTTCTCATGAAAATTCTCATGAGCCACAGACTGCATCTTTGTGAGTCATTTTGTGAGTCACTTACTTTCTAAAGTTAATGTAGTGTGTTTGATTTGTAACGTGTGGTTTAAGACGGTGTGAACATTTTGTTTGTTATTTATAGCTAAATTGTTTACCACATATCTGTAAATTTGTAAATCAATTCCTTAATAAATCCCCTAATAATTCACCTAACCTTAATCAATACTAGAACCTGAATATCTTAAATTTGATCCTTTGAACAGCTGTTGAGCAATGAAACGCAAACATAATCTTAGCAAAATGAATATATTTCTTTTATCTTCAGCATTTAATCAGTCACATAATCTGAGAATATCAATGGTTAGTTTGAAAATGTCAAAAATTCTCATCAAAAATGTAGTAAAGTCTCAAAAAATTAATTTAGCATCTCGTCAAAATGGAATAGTTTAAAATCGGAACAAAATTAATGGCATATACTATAATAATGTGGAGTCTGCAGTAGTTCATTAAATCAAAAAGACGCAATTCAAAAAATGATAGACTGCATATATAAACAAAAAATGGACGATTTAAAAATAAAAATAAAATTCGGGACACCATGAAAAGAGAACCTGAATATAATATAAAGAGAACCTGAATATAATATAAAGCTTACCGAGTTGATAGGAATAATCTTGATGTCACTTCTAGGTTGCATAATATCTGGGTCCTGATCCCAGGCCGAGAAGGTCTCGGCAGAGGGTGGCGGTTGTTGTGTTGTCATGGTAACTATAGGTTTTGTCGTCATGGTAACTGAGGGTTGTGGTGTCATGGTTTCTGAGGGTTGTGGGGTGAGGGTTTCTGAAGGTTGTGGTGTTAAAGTTTCTGAGGGTGCTTTGTAGAGTTGCTGAGCTACATCCATGGCGCTGAGGTGACCTTTTCTATTCTGAAACAATAGTTTTATGCTTTAAAGTAATAAGTATAGTTTTAGCCTCGAAAATTATACGACATCTAATTTGTTGTAAAGTTGTAAGTTGATACAAGAATGTGGGTGAAATGAGTAATTCAAGTCTTGTAAACAAATAGCTAAATACCTTGAGTTGTCGCTCCTGTTTGTGTATATTCTGGTCTGTGGCGTGTTCCAGGACCTTCTTCATGACAGGGATAGCTTCACGTTGAGGAGTCAGTCTGATATTTACCTGTATATTGAGTAAAATACAAGTTGTGCGAAATGACGATACATAGAGGCTAGAGGATGATGAGTACAAGATCCCGGTGGAACTAATTCAATTCCAGATATCACAGCTGGCTGGCCCTGAGTTGAACTGACCTGTTCCTCTTTAGCAAACACACCCTCCGCAAGACCCGGAGTACCTGGCTGTGACTGGCGCGCAGAAATGTACTGCGCGCCCTCGGGGTCCACGTCAAGGTGGAGCTGCTTGTTCTCGTGTACGTAGTACGCCTCTCCGATCTGGGACAAGAATTTAGTGTTACATCTCAGTATAAGTGGGTAATTATTAGTTACCATATAGTATCAGGGAAATATGCACCTACTGACACAGTTCCTTCTTATTTTAATGAAAGAACGAAAGTAAAAATAAGTACTCCGACAATTACCTCGCTGGTGGCGCTCTCAACCGTGTCCTTATTATACTGGGTCTGGTATCTACTGCTGTAATCACTATCTGTAAATTCTTGATAGTTTACTTTAGTCCCGGGTGTAATATTAGTGCACAAATTTAAACAGTTTCAAGCCATTTCTCGGCGAGTTAGCAGTCAGAAATATGTTTTTGAAAGACAAGTAAATAAGTTTCATTCACTGCACTGTTAACATACTAGATATGACCGAGTAACACTGCTCCATCCTGCTCCTGAGCCGCGCATCAGATGGGAACTCCTGCACGTGCAGCTGCTGGTTCCAGAACCTGTTCACCGTGATCCCAGTCCATGAACTGCATGTCTATATAAACATAGTCCCCACACGCTTCTCTCAACGGAGCCACTGAAATACACACATTTAACACGTTACACAAATAATTGTTATGATTTGCAGAACTAAGTTTAAATGAGTCAAGTTTTAGCGAATGACGCGTTAAATCGTAAGCTTGTACGTTTCTCTTTATTTATTGTTCTATTGTTCTATTTTAAACTCTGACATTTCCGTACACGTTCAGAACACAATCTGCAGGAGAACAGATAGCATATAGCATGCAGTGCCCGCTGAGCATGCGTGTAAAACGTGTAGGATCAATAAACTGTCAATCCGACCGTACAATTCAAAACAATTAAAACTTTGATAAACACCACAGGAAACAAACAGATGTCTTGTAATTTAAGATAGTGGTAAAATGTGACCACTATACTTATCACTAATGTATGCATATTGCAATCTCAAAAGGATAGACGTGACGAATAAAAACTCGAGTCAATGCCGATTGAGTTTTCAATTTAAAGACGTAACGTCTCTCACTGGACACGTCAATTAATATAACGAGTTTACACAAATAAACCATCTAATAAACACTGTGGAGAGTGCTACCTGGATGAGCTGATATCTGTATAAGAGCGAGTTGGTCGTGGTGCAGCCCTATAATCCTTCCCTTCCTCTGTCTGGGTAGGTTAACAGTGTCTCCTAGCTGCGGTACTCGCTCCACACCCTGGTTACGCTTCCTACGAGCTGCTACTGCACTTCTGCGATGTGCGGATAATGTTAACGTTCTTATAGCGCAACTTGTTATAAAGTGTACAGAATAATAATTTTATTACTGTTAAATTGTACAGTACAGAAAATATGTTTGTTAAAATAAATTTCGAATAGTTTACATTTTCATGTGGGTCAGAAAAAAAGAGTAAACTCACTTAGCCCGCTGGTGAATCTTCCTCTTGGTATGAATAGCTACAGCAGACAGTGGGGACTGGTAAGGCACTATTCCAGGTTCTAACTCCAACATCTCGTAGTTGCTGTTCTCGATACACCCTCTGACAAGTTGAAGGAGCGCGCTGCTTGCCTCCTCAAAGTCGTAATCTGTTGCGTTCCACAACATGTCCTGTATAACGTCCTTCACGTGCGGATTCTGTGTTGCTATAGCAACCACGTCTAGCACACCCTGGTCTCTGTCTACCATGTCCAGGAAGGAGGGAACTAGACACATTAGTTGTACAACCTGCAGGAAATTGTGGGGCTATTCAAAACAGCGGTACTGCATCAACGAGAAGTCCCTGCAATTCATTAGATTAACAAATCAACTTTTCTTCTCCCTTTTTCCTTTCAACCGGTTAAGCCGCACCCACTATATAATTCTAAAAAATAAATAAACAAATGTCTACGACACATACCTCAGCAGCGAGAAGTGCGCGGTGAATAACAGGGGACATAAACTTGAGCTGGTACTGGTCGGGGTATCCGTGAGTAGTGCGCAGCAGGTTAGATAACACCACGTAAAGTGCAACAAAGAGCCGTTTATACAGTCCACCTTCTTCACCCTCTCCTCGGTCTATTATCACAGAACTGAAGTTTAAACTCATTTAAATATATTAATTTCGTAGTAAAAATAAGCTAGCACACTTTAGAGTTAAGACATGAATTTATAAATGTATGATTTCAGGTTAGTTTGGGAAGTGACCAGGACAATCATTTATTCAGTGATTTGAAATGCTGTTGAAGCAGTTAGCAGGGCAGGGTACGGATGGGTACCTGAGTAGGATAGATCCAGTAAGCAGGAGGTCCTCGTGAGGAAGTTGCAACAGTGTCACACAGTTCACTCCACCAATAGTGTCTAGATTAGCGGTGTGTAACGTCTCGTCAATCAGAGAGAGTGGGAGGGAGAACTCTAGTCCGGCTACCAGGAGGAGCAACAACATGTTACATTTCTCCACTTCACTTCCTCTACACTTGAGCAGTTTTAGGAGTGGGGGTACTTGTCCAAACCCTTGTGGAGCGTCCTCTTCATCTTCCTCCCTGAGTTAATTAAATTAAATTAATTCTCGCAACTTTAATTTTCTTTGTGAACTGTTTAGTTGTGAGAGGCTTAGTTTAAAAACGGGACATTTTTTGCTAAAAATTGGGTCATCTATTATATAAGGCAGAGGTATTTCACCAGTTCTGTTAAACACCAAATAAACACTTAAAAGATAAGAATGGTGAGGTACCTGGATTGTAGAAACTCGCAAGCGGAACTATTGTTGGTAACAGCTGAGTGAAGGTAAGCAGGAAGGGGAGAGGAGCTCTCCGGAGGGACACGTCCTGATCTGGACATCAGACTCCAGTAGGACCTCTGTAACGACACGTCTGAGACATGTTACTATGTTACGAATTAGCTAGAAGTAAAACTAGTAACCTGAAATAATCATTTAAGTCAAAACTCAAAGATCAAAAATCAAAAGTCAGAATATGTTGAAAACAAAATTCCGATCTTAATTTCCATACCGTTCTCGAACATTTCTGCTATGAAGGTGATCCTCCTAAGATCCGTTCTGAGAGTTTGTCTCTCGTTTTGGGAGAACCGAGATAGCAGCTGAAGTGCATTCTTTCCTGCAACATTTGGTGCTTTCAATTTGGTACTTTTGCAATTCTTGAATTATCCCAATTATGGCCTAACGTACTTCACATCGACATCTATGCATGTGCCCGTTTCTTTGATGTTTTTTCCCTGCCAGGTTTTTTACACCATCTTGGAAGCAATAAATCCGAATTATCTGAGATATTGATAAACTCACCCAGTACAGCTCGCTGTTTAAGATTCTTGATATGACTCGGAACGAATTTGCTGTGAGCGACAGGTCTCAACTTGTGTCTGACGGGTCTCTCCAATACTTCAGAGTTTTTAAAGAACCTGGAAACTTGTTCCCTCTCAGCAGCTGTAACTAATACTCCGTCTAACATCCACATGTTCGGGAGACAATCTATCACGTGACGTCTATCTGAAGAGGAGAATATTCAATATATTATAATACTCATACTTACATAATATGAGTGCGGAACTACATATTAATCAATAGTGACGAAATATCTATTAGATTGAGTGTATACTGTATAGTGTATACTTGTATAATCTTACGCTTAGCATTTCGTCGTTTCACGTCGTGATTATTATGTTGTGATACCAGATATGTATTAGATTATGTCACATGAGTGCAGTTCAAGAAACACGAGTCTTATCTTCTAACTTCTCATTTTCAACATGCTTCCAGACCTTTTGTCCGCTTGCCTCGGACTTATCTTGCTTTGCTGGTTCGTCTCAGCTGAGCCACTGAGATTCAAGGATGGCAAGTTTAGAATAGCCCAGTTCACGGGTAAGTTGTATAATGTATATATTCCATCGTCTGAACTCTCAAATCCAATAAATTGCTAGTCACTTTTTAAATTGTTCGGTTATCGATATTTTGTAGTTAAGATTTAAGGACACTATACTGAGTATACTGCTCCTTCGTCAGACCTGCATTACGGGGAGGATGAGTTTACACCGTGGGGACCAATACAAGACAAGAACTCTGATCACGTGATGCACTCTGTACTGACAGCTGAGACACCCGACTTCGTCCTCTTCACAGGTGGGTTCTCTACTTTTCAGGGAGAAATTGACAATTCGCACGGAGTTATTTAAGTTATATATGAACAGCGGTTTATAATTTTTCAAAATTAAATCTTTGTAGAGCAAATCTAAAGCACCATGGTTTGCAAGATGTAATAACTGACAACGCCAGGTGACACACTGACTGGTAATAATATCGACTCCAACGCTACCTCATACTGGAAGTACGTTCTGAGCCCCTGTCTGCAGCACAACACTCCCTGGGCCCACGTGTTTGGAAATCACGACGATCTGAGTCAGGAGAAGGGAGACAGGGTGACACTCATGAAGTACGATCAGACTTTCAACTTATCTTACTCTGTCATGGGACCTAAATCTCTGTTTGGGGTCTCTAACTATTTCCTCCCCATTTACGGTGAACATTCAGGTATGAGTACTTATCAGAAGCTTCGCAATTTGAAATTTGATTTCTTGTAAACTAAATTCGGAGTGCTGATATAATATTATAAGTAAGCATTGAATTAACCATTACGATTAATAAGTACTATATTCTTATAGATAAGGCGGAGGCGGTGATATACGCTCTAGACAGTGGAGGTGGAAATGTAGACGAGCAGGTCACACAAGAGCAGATCAACTGGCTTGTCACGAGTTATCACATCAATCTCAATGTGTACGGTCCAGTACCCAGCATACTTACATTCCACATTCCACCACCGGAATTCGAGGAGCTCTTCAACAAGGTGGAATGTACCGGTATGTTTAAATTACCATACCTAAATGCAGATCATAGTTCCTTAAAGAGATGACTGATCATCTTTCGGAGGTTTACTCAATATTTTAATTTATAATTCCTCTCAGGTTACCTGAACAACACAATACTACCTCTGGCTAGTAAAGGACTATACGAAACTATTCTGTCCCTGCCAAACGTTCATCTTGTTACGACAGGACACTACCACGAAAACGATTATTGTTGTCCAACTAAAAACAAACTCCTCTGTCAGGGTAAAGTCAGAGTAAAGACTTTTATTAAATTTGTTGAACATTAATGAAAGATGTGACAAGGGGCAGCTTAGTTGGATTAGTAGGTATTTTACAATACAATATTTAAACACGTTATGCTCAGGTCGCCACAGTGGGTATGGAGGGTACAGTACCATAGCTAGAGGATCCCGGATTATTCAACTGGAGAAAGATAAACTTCAAACATGGATCAGAATGGAGAACAAGGATGTCCTAGATCATCTTGTGTTAAAATATGATTAAAGTATTTCATACTGATAAGAGAAATTAATTCAAACTTCTGTCAGAACAGAAAACAGAGATATTTAAAAAAAAAACACTAGTATTATTATCATCGATTCTTTTACAATTAAACAATTAATGAATTATGTGACTCGAACATGATAAGTATTTGTAGTCTTTGATATTGGACCAAAATAATAAACTTACAATAAGGATCTTTCTCAAGGTTTGGGTTGCCAGCAAGTCTCAAATCAAGTATGGTTATATGTTGGATTTTGCGGAGCTCTGGCCATGATAAGTTGTTGTAAGAGAGAACAAGAGTTCCTATACATCTCACTTTCAGTAATCCCTCTAGTGAACATACCTGAAAAAGGGCGTTAAATGATGAAAGATTCGGAAAATTTTGGCATTTTAGTTTAACCATATTATATCACAGATTTTGAAACTTAACATTTCGTTACTTAACAAACTAACCAGATTGTGGCTCAGATCAAGTTTCCAAAGTTCAGGAAGTGTTGAGATGGCGGTAGGAACACTAGATACTGAGTTGTAGCGCAAAATAAGAGTTTGTAGGTTAATGCATTGTTTCAGTCCATCTAATGTCACTGAAACACATTATATTGTAGATAATGGATAAAATTTAAAACTTGTTTCAATAACTAGGTCATGTAATGATGCCGATATTTTAACACACACACACACTCGTTTTTGTACTGAACTTTTAAAGATAATTTAATCAAAATATAATTTTAAAATAGGAAATTGCTAATGTATTCTATAACACAAATTTTTTCCAAAACTTAAAGAATTCCTTAAAGAGTGGTTATAGAGTAGTAAGCATTTTACTATAATGAGTAATAGATAATGTAAATTATGATATATAATATATTATAATTCTTGAAACCACACATTGAGTGACTACAAACAACTCACCTAAATTGCAATGAGACAGATCAACATGCTTAGCAAACTTTGGTTGAATAAGACCACAGCGCTCTTGTAGTAACTGAAAAATTGATAATCTTAGATTTTAATTGTCTGACCAGCAATAAAATTTTAAATTATCGATGAACTTTGAACCTTCAGTGACAAACAAAAATTAAAAAATCGATAATTTAACTCACCGCTTGGCCAACCTTCATCTTTTCAATGAAACATTAAAGCCATTTGAAGTCTTTAAAAGGAAAACCATCACCTGTACCTGCCACTGAATATACGAGATCTATCAATTATGGTTTGAGTTTTGAATTTTCAAATCATTCAGTATCAAATCCAAAAAAGTCTACAAAACACCCCAAAAGTTGCATCATAATATACTAAATGTTGCTTCCATTATCTGTAGAAACATTCTTGAATTGTCATTCACCTCAAAAAGTGGACACCAAAAAGTGGACACCATTACATAGTAAAGAATGACGGCCCCAACGTAATGTGGCTCTTGCTATGTGTTGGTTCAGCCGAATTAATTATTATGTGAAATGAAATGAAATGAAATGAGGTATTTATATCCCGCTCATATGATTAACCAACAACACAAGGAAGGTGGTTAACCATGTCAGAGCGGCTGACTGTGAGTGATGTGAGCAAAAGTGTAAAAAGTGAACTAAAGTATAACTCAGCATAAGGCAAAGACAAAATTAAAACATCTTTTATTGTAAACCACACTAAACTAAATAGAAGCATAAACCATACAGTACATGTAGGTATAATAAAGGTTAGTACAGTGACATAATCAATCAAGAAAGAATCAGATCCAAGTAAGTAAGAGATCAAGGCATAAAATGGAGTGCGGTAAAAAATAAAAGCCAATGTGTCTTGCAAAGTGAAGACAATGGAAAGAAAAACATCAGAACTGATTATATAAATGATTCTTTAACATTCGCTTGAAACAGTTGGTATCAGTGATACATCTCAACATCAGGGGAAGAGAGTTCCATGCAATCGGTGCATGGCTTGAGAAACGTCTGTCATCAACTTTGGATCTTTTATTCTTTGGTACCTTGAGCATGAGATGGTCATCAGGTCTCTTCGACCTGGTCATGGTCATGGTGTTTGAGAGTTCTTTATCCACTACATCCACATCCAGTAGTGCTTTGAGGTAATCAGGTGCAGTACCGTGAACTGATTTGTGGGTTAAAAGACAAACTTTAAAGAAGATTCGTTGGTCTATAGGGAGTATGTGGGCCTTCTTATAGAAGGGAACCAAGTCCGTGGTCCTCTCTTCTATGTTATAGATGAAACGAACTGCCCCATTAAGGGTTGATCTAAGTTTGTTCAATCTGGTCTTGGGTAGATTCATGTAAAGAGAATTACAATAGTCTAATTTAGATATGACCAGTTGTTTCACCAGCATCAATTTAATGCCTTCATCAAGGTAACGACCAATGGTTCTTAGATTCATCATTGTCCAGCTGCATTTCCTTTTGACATTATTGATCTGTCTTTCCATATTTAGAGTTTCATCAAATTTGACACCCAGACTCTTCCAGCTGTCTCCTTTACACTCCGTAGGCAGAATTTCAGTGCTTCCAAATTGCAGTCTGACACTGAGTTCACACTTTTTTAGAACATGGCTCTTTCCTAACACCAGTAGTTCTGTCTTTGTTTCGTTCAGTTTCATGTAGTTGTTCACCATCCATGCTTTTATCTCTGCAAGACATTTGTTTGTTCTGTCTTGGACATCAATAAACTGTACCACACGGTTTGGTTTAAATGAGATGTACAGTTGAGAATCATCTGCATAGAGCTGTATATCAAGACCATATTTGGCCGCAATTTTCTGGAGAGCTTTGATATAAAGGATGAAAAGAATAGGCCCCAAGAGTGATCCCTGGGGAACTCCAAACAGCAGCTCCAAGAAAGATGAAAGAGTATCATCAATCTTAACACAGAAGTGTCTTTTCTCAAGGTAGGACTTTATCCATTGCAGTGCACTTCCAGTAATTCCATAGTCCTTCATAAGCTTTTCCAATAAGACTGTGTGGTCAATGGTATCAAATGCTGCACTTAAGTCGAGAAGTACAACTATAACAACATTCCCAGCTTCAATTTCTTTGTTTAGATCATCACACATTCTAACAAGTAATGTTTCACAGCTATGATTAGGGCGATATCCAGATTGGACTTTTGAGTAAAGGCTATGGTTCGTTAGATGGACATTAAGCTGGTTTAGTACAATTCTCTCTAGGATCTTAGAGAAGGCAGAAAGGTTAGACACTGGTCGATAGTTACTGAGAATATCAACATCAGCATTTTCCTTCTTCAAAGTCGGTTTGATGACTGCTTTCTTCATATCTGAGGGAAAGACCCCAGTCTTCAAGGATGAGTTCAATACATGAAGTAAAAAAGGTGTTAGTTCATCGACACAGTTTTTTAAGAGAAATGCTGGGATCGGATCCAAGCAGCAGAACTTGTTGGACATCTTTGATACCAGGTCTTTGAGTTCATCAGCTGTTATCTCAGAGAAATTATCAAAGATGCAGTCTTTATCAAGAACAGGATCTTTGTCTTTGTCTTTGTCTTTGTCTTTGTCTTTGTCTTTGTCTTTGTCTTTGTCTTTGTCTTTGTCTTTGTCTTTGTCTTTGTCTTTGTCTTTGTCTTTGTCTTTGTCTATATCTTTGTCTTTGTCTTTGTCTTTGTCTTTGTCTTTATCTTTGTCTTTGTCTTTGTCTTTGTCTTTGTCTTTGTCTTTGTCTTTGTTTACATCTTTGTCTTTGTCTTTGTTTATATCTTTGCTTTTGTCTTTGTCTTTGTCTTTGTCTTTGTCTTTGTCTTTGTCTTTGTCTTTGTCTTTGTCTTTGTCTTTGTCTTTGTCTTTGTCTTTGTCTTTGTCTTTGTCTTTTCCTTCCTTCTCAATGGCTTGTCTGATGGTTGCAACCTTTTCAGCGAAGAAATCTTTGAAATCTTCTGACAGTTTCACAGGATCCTTGTAGTTTGGAAGGTTTTGGGTGTCATTTCCTAAAAGCCTGTTGACTTTTTTGTACAACGCTTTAGTATCCCCTGAAGAGGACCTAAGAGAGGTTTTGTGGTGAGCGCATCTTTTGACAAACTCTAGTCGGGAAAACTCATCTCTTAGCTTAACATAATCCGATCTCAGGTACTCAGATCTTGCACTGTCTATATCATCAACTTTATCTTTTCTCCACGCACGTTCAGCAGTTCTTCTCTTTCGCCTGAGAATACGAAGTTCCAGGTCTAACCAAGGCATTGGCTTCTTAGTAATCTTCTTTTTTATGTAAGGACAGTGTTTATCCATTAACTGAGTGAGCACGGTGTTGTAAAGGACAACAGCATCATTCGGAGACATGTCTTTAGGGAAGTTTGTCAGTTTTGAAATTAAAATATCTTCTTTAAACTGTTCTGTATCAATTAAATTAAAGTGGGGAAGTTGGTCGTTTAGCTCCGGACAGTCTATGCAACGTCTATGCAACGTCCGTGCAACAACAAAAGAACCGTCTATGCAACGTCTATGCAACGTCCCTGCACAATGAACACTCTATGCACACTCCCTGCACGGTCAGTCTATGCAACGTCTATGCAACGTCTATGCAACGTCCCTGCACAGTACCATATGAACACCGGCTACTAGCCGGCTACTAGCCGGCTAGTAGCCACTTTTGTAATAACAGCTCCTCAACTTCACATTAACAACCGGCTACTAACCGGCACTTGAAAAGTGGTCACTAGCCGGCTACTAACCGGCTACTAGCCGGCTAGTGACCACAAAGTGGCTACTAACCGGCTACTAAGCGGTCACTAGCCGGCTATTAGCCGAGCTCTAAAGCAGACCTATTAGTAGCCGGTTCTAAACCGGCTACTAGCCGGCACTTGAAAAGCGGTCACTAGCCGGCTACTAACCGGCTACTAACCGGCTAGTAACCACCAAGTGGCTACTAACCGGCTACTAACCGGTCACTAGCCGGCTCTAAAGCAGACCTATTAGTAGCCGGTTCTAAACCGGCTACTAGCCGGCACTTGAAAAGCGGTCACTCGCCGGCTACTAACCGGCTACTAACCGGCTAGTAACCACCAAGTGGCTACTAACCGTTAGTAGCCGGTTAGTAGCCGGCTAGTGACCGCTTTCTAAGTGCCGGCTAGTAGCCGGTTTGGAACCGGCTACTAGTAGGTCTGCTTTAGAGCTCGGCTAATAGCCGGCTAGTGACCGCTTAGTAGCCGGTTAGTAGCCACTTTGTGGTCACTAGCCGGCTAGTAGCCGGTTAGTAGCCGGCTAGTGACCACTTTTCAAGTGCCGGTTAGTAGCCGGTTGGTAATGTGAAGTTGAGGAGCTGTTATTACAAAAGTGGCTACTAGCCGGCTAGTAGCCGGTGTTCATATGGTACTGTGCAGGGACGTTGCATAGACGTTGCATAGACGTTGCATAGACGTTGCATAGACTGACCGTGCAGGGAGTGTGCATAGAGTGTTCATTGTGCAGGGACGTTGCATAGACGTTGCATAGACGGTTCTTTTGTTGTTGCATGGACGTTGCATAGACGTTGCATAGACTGTCCGGAGCTAAACGACCAAGTTGCCGAAGTCAGTTTTTCCTTGAAGGATCGGTTAGTCACTACAAGATCTAGGGTTCCACCTTGGTCATGGGTTGGTTCAAGGGGAACGTGTTGGTATAGATCATACTCCTCCAGGATTTGGTAGAGCTTCTTTGGGTAGTGTTCTTCAGGCTTTTCCATGTGAAAGTTGAAATCTCCAGCAATGATGGGGAAGCCAGGTTTGACTGTGAGGTCTTTAAGGTAGTCTTCGAATTCTTCTAAAAAGGCACACTCCGTGTACCGAGCCTTCTTGGTATAAGGAGGCCGATACAAGTTCACAAGTCTCACAATATCTTGTTGAGATTGTAGCAGTGATTCCATCACTTGGAAGGATTTGTACTTCATGACCTTACTATTACACTTTAACTGGAGCACATCACAAAATAGCATAGCTATACCTCCTCCTCCTCTGTGTTTTCTTGGATCCGAGAGTATATTCCAACCAAGGTCTTTGATCTCCTTTATCTTAGCTGTGTTTCCATCACGAAAGAAAGTTTCTTGTACAAAACAGATGTCACAATCAACTTCTTGAAGATGCTCTAACACTCCGACTGTTTTGTTCACTAGGGATCTAACATTGAACGTTCCAATCCTTAAACTCTTCCTAGGCGTAGTTTGGTCTCCTTTGTCTTCTGTATGTACCAGTTTTTTGCATTCTCACATCCTGCTGTCCTATTCATTATTCCAGTCCGTTCTCTTACATACGAGGGACATAGGTTATCAGAGGCTTTATGGGTCTTTGCTGAGTTCTTCTCCGAGTGTTTACTACTTTTGGCGCAGTTAGAGCACTTTATCTTTTTTACATTATTTTCACTCTTGTTATTACAATCTTTCGACTTGTGGCTTCCTGCACAGAAGAAACATGTTGGGTCTTTATCTTTGGCTTTACAGTACATGGAATTGGCCATGTGACCAAATTCCTGGCAGTGATAACATTGAATGACATGAATTCGGTCTGTGACATGGTGTTCCCTGAGGTCAATGTGTATATAGTCTCTGTTTTGTCTGATTAACTCACGCATTGCTGCAGTGACACGGATGACAGCCGATTTCTCAATCTCATCGAAGAAAACCACTTTTACTGCATCGTCTTTTCCAGAAGAGGACTTCAGTATTTCATTCTTTTCCAAAAGTTTCTCTAGCAATGTCTCCTTGTTTGTGATGTCAGAGGGAATATTCCGAATAGACAATTTGGGGTCCAACTTCTTTCCTGGTTCGGATTTTGATGATACTTTGTATTTATCTTGAGATTTAAATACTGTCTCAGCTTTCTGAAGTTGATCCCTGGTCACAAACTTGAAAGTTGCAGTATTTCCGGACACTGTATAGTTCTTCACTGGGTTGACTTTAAGGGAACCTTTCATTTCCTTTTCATCCTCCTTTGTAATGGGTTCTTCAGAACTCCCAGTCTTTTTCTCCACTGTGAGAATGTGTTTTTCTGCGAGCTTCGTTTCTTCTTGAGTCTTCTTTTCTTTGGGTAGTGTTGCCACCACTGAAGTCAATAAATCGGGTAGTATTGTAGGGAGTACTTCTGCTAGTACCTCTTTGAGCTGTGTCTTTATAATTTCTTTGAAATCTGGTGATTCCTGTTTGGTAGAAGTTGTGGCTTGTTTTGCTCCTAGAACAGTTTTTGTTAGTTGAAGAGCATTTTTGGAGAAAGTGTAAATATCCTGGATAACGACAAGCATGTCTGGTTTGGTAAATGTACCTAAAAGGTCCCCACTAGCTGCGGATTCAATAGTTATCTTAATCTTATTATCTTTATCATCTTTCTTACCTTTAAACTTCAGTGTATTGCAGTTTATCTTTTCCAATTGTTCCTCCATCTTTTTCAGGTCCAACTCCATCTTTTCCATGTTAAACACCCTGCTACAAAGATCAAGGACCGAAAGACAAAATGACAAATTGTCAGTTCTTAAAAAAACTAAACAACTGCTTTGTAATAATTCGATACCTCAAATTATTTGTTATATAGTAGTGTTGAAAGATTTAAAACTAATGTAATCAAGTTTTTTTCCCTTTTAGTTAGTTGTCATTCGGCCAAACATTAAGCAACTTATATTGCAGTACCATTTATCAATTAGTATATCAAAATATGTCATTGTGATTTTGCATGGCTGAAATGTAACGCTAGATTTATATATATAATAATTAATTGAATTTTCAAATTAAAAAAAAAAACTAGCCCATTAGTGGAAGGCGCAGGTTATTTCACCACCGAAAGCACATCCAATTTGATACATTACATATGAAATATGTCTATTTAACAGAAATATGTCTATAACAGCAATGCATGCAATTTGAGGAGTGTGCTTTCGGCGGAAACATAACATGCGTCTTAGTAGAAGTTCATAACACTTGGTGATTGGAAAAATTGGTGCATAGTTCACAGGTGGAATGAAAAACCTGCATAGTTCACAGGTGGAATTAAACGGGGGGGAAATGAGTAAGCTACAAGTCAGTCACAAATGGGAATTGATTCCATCGAAAGGTGTGATAAAGAAAATGTCTTATATACACTCGCCGTCCTAACTTTACTCACTCTACTCACGTCCGACAATGGCGTTTCTCTTGTGGCTAATATGAGCATACAAATGACATTTATACATCGTGCAGAATCACCAAAAGTCTATAAATGTGTAAAAAGAGATTGCACGAAATTGCCTATAGCGCTCGATTCCAAAAGTCTAATTAAATGCAGACCGGCGGAAATACGCGCGGCGTGAATAAAATATTATTTTTATTTGAACCGAATTTTTCGGCTAAAATTAACTAAACATTTTTTCTTTTATATAATAACAGTGTAACTATAAAATATTTTTAATAAAAGAGTGACATTGACGGTTAAAATGCAAAAATTACACCATTTTTTTCGTTTTTTCGGAGTTTTGATCTAAAAAATGAAATATTACAGGGGTTCATATTTGTTGTGCAGTTCATTTTATAATTAAATTCAATTAGATTTATAATGTAAGTATTTTGGAACAAGATAACTTATTCAAAAAATTGGAAATAATTATTTTTATTTTGGCCAATATACGGCGCGCGGTTTTTGTGATTGAACCAGGGAGACTTATTCCAGTCATAACGTAAAAGTAAAGTAAAATATAAATTATGACATAACATCATCACTATAAACGTCTACAAAGTTTCATTGCACTACATGGAAAAATATACAGTGACTATTTCTTCATCAAATTTAAAAGTAATAATTTATCAAATATTAATTATAAATAACAACATCATTAAAAAATGTTTAATTTATTCATACTTCCCAGTGGAGTAAAGATTTATAAAACGTTTCTTTGCTACATAAGGTCTAAGGATGAAACCAAAAATAATCATTGTGTTTTTCCTTATTTCTGACACATTTAGAAATCATATCCTTTTTAAAACTTTCCAATCCAATTTTAAAACTCAAAACTGTCTGCAAGCAGTTCTTTACCTCCGAAGGGAGTTTGTTCCAATAAGGAACAACCCGCTCTGGAAGAAAAGAACACTGAAGATTCTTGACTTTTGTCACACTCTTACTACATCTATTGGATGAAACCAGATTAAGACCTGATCTGCTTGGTCATGATGATTGCAGTTTTTAGCATCTATAGTCTCTCAAACAACATATCAAGGGGTTCCCTGTTCAGTTTCTTCGTTGTATTATGTAGGGGCCGTATGTGCAGTGTGCACGTATTTTGTCGTATTACGATAGAATACAGCTTGTTATGTATTTAACTAGCCACTAAATGCAATGTTAGCTCTGATAAATCACATTTACTTGCACGAACCGGCATATCACGGTTTAATTGAATAAATGTCAGGGAAAGAAGAAGCCCGGTATATTGGGGTTACTGGTATGGAGAGGCCCTGTAAAGAGTTTAACTCAGTAGAAATTAAACATATAAAAAGAAGTTTGATTTGAACCGGGACCAGGTTGAGTGCCCTTTTTCATTCTTGAAAGCGTAGGTCATAGCCAATGACCCAGAAAATGAGACCACATTTTGGGGAGACTAGTTGGTGATGTTTCTTCATAAAGATAACAATATTTTAAGAGACTTCAAGTGAGAAATGCAAGTGGGTATTAGTAAACAAATTGTAAAATGAATTTATAATACTGAGTGCAGAGTGGAAGGAGCTCAATACAAAGGACAGTGTTAATAATTTAGCCCAGCTCACAGGAGCACACGAAATTTGGCGAAAGATTTTGTACAAGGACTCTTTTAAGGGCTGAATTTATTTTGTTGAAGAAGTAAATGTATTAAGTGGCTACAGCAAGCTGATGGTAATTTAAAGAACTGTTGTGGTTAAGGTTACTTAAGATTTTTTTTCCTTTGGAAGGTTAATATCATGCATCTGGTGAGAAAATGTGAATCTTCTCTGCCCAATTTTTATGTATTTCGAATTTTTTGGAATAATCTGGTAAACAAAAGATGCAATGGTATGAACTTCCTTGGTATGAACTTCCATTACATAGTAACTATATTACAAAATGTCGATAACTGTCAACCATTTAGATTAATAAGTATTGCTGTAACTACGAAACTAATATTTAACTTGAATTTTAACTTATAAAAATTGAAAGTTTGCTCAAACAAATAGATTTCTGATTAACTGTTCATTATTAGTAGAATTAGAATATGGCAAAGAAAAAGGAAAAGGCCGCAGCCAAGGAGGAAACTGTGCAAGCTGTCGAAGGTGAACTCGAAGATGAGGAGGTGGCAGATGATAATTCTCCAGGTAAATATTCCTATTAAATCATGTAATGTTCCTGTAGTTTTATAGTTCATAAAATAAATTTGTAATTTGCTGCAAAAAAATAAATTAAACCAAGATCACTTAAAACAATCCATCTAACAGAAGCTTACGCATTGACTGGTGACTACAGAACTGATTACAATGAAATTTGCAAGCGATCAGAGTTAGCCCCTATTCTCCTTAAGCAGAGGGGGCAAAGTCCAGGTTAATATTTTTAGAGAATACCAAATAAGACATTGTTTCTATAAAGTTTATTTAACTTCTATCCTTGAGATAATTTTGTCGTATAATTAAAAATGCATAACCTAATTTCTTCTTTGTTTTACGAAAAAATCTTTGTTTTACTAATTTTGCAACATGTGCAGCATCACTTGGCACAGAACCAGCAGAAGGTGTTCCAACAACATATACTACTAAAGACAAATATGAGTACTTGAAACCATGTGTAGAAGTAAGTCAAATATTATAGTCGTAAATTCATCTCCACAAGCAGTATAGCAATACTTTCAAAACAATCTACACTCACAGGCTATTTGTCTTTCATCTCAGCTAGGTATTTGATGTTAATTCAATTTATAAAGCTAATCGATTCTCCGATATTTCAGGTTGAGCAAGATGATGATAATAAAGATTCTATAAAAAGTTTTTACATTAAAGGATGGAAAGTTTCTACTGGAATTTTGAATGTTCTAAATTTGGCTGCTCCCCAAACTTTGACCACCATAAGGTAAACTGTGAAAAACCCATTTTTTTCAACTTCTAGTTCAGTTAGATATCTACAGTATACCTCTTAACACTTTGATACCACCATTATCCGTGCTAACAAATATTAACCTCAGTTTTTGGCGATGTGGTTTAGACAGGGAAGCTCTCCACATTATTGTGAACATGCTTTCAAAAATTGCAATTAGGAGTGTCTCGTTAGATGGCAACCCTGAGTGTGCAGGTATTTCATAAAATAAATCAGTTAATCAATATATTTCTTGTGTGTTTATAAAAATACCCACTGAATTGAACACTTGTCATTTCCCCAGTTCACGTGACTTTTGTGTACTGATCAGCTGTTAATCTGTCAGGTCATTTCCATCTGCTGTTGTCTGAAGACTGCACAATCAGCTCCCTATCTCTGAGATCTAACAAGATCAGTTGCACTGACATTGCACTCTTCTCTACAGCGCTAGCTACCAATAAGTCATTGACTAACCTTTCTCTACACAATAACTCGATCGAGGATGAGGGAGCTCAGCACCTTGCACGGGTACACAACTTGATCATTTTAAAAAGTGTCAAATTATCAAGTTCTTGCGAATAGTAATTACTATCTAGAATTTAATTTAAGAGTTTCATTGCAATTTTCTTTGAATTTCCAGGATTACAAACTAGGCTGTAAAATATCCTGTGAAACTAAAATCACTACTATATTGGGGGGGGGGGTGTCACGTCCGTCTATGTCCGCTTGTCTCATAGAATCCAAAAAGGACAGGACATAGGCGGACATAGGCGGACATAGACGGACATAGGCGGACATAGACGGACATAGGCGGACATAGACGGACATAGGCGGACATAGGCGGACATAGGCGGACATTAATGGACACCTAAATTGCTAAATAAAATGTTCAATTTTTGCTGTTATAGGGGGATCATGTTTTTTGTCCGTTCGGTACCCTATATTTTCAAAACGGACAAAAAATAGAGCGGACAAAAACGGACAAAAATGGACAAAAACGGACAAAAATGGAAATAACATTTAGATGCTTCCTCCTCCTACTCTTCCTCCTCCTCCCCCTGGGTCTTCCTGATCTTCCTCAGTCCTCTTCCTCCTCTTCCTCCTCCCCTCCTCAGTCCTCCTCCTACTCCTCCTCCTCGTCCTCAGTCCTCCTCATCAGTCCTCAACAGTCCTCCTCCTCCCCAGTCCTCCTCCTCCTCCTGGGTCCTCCTCCTCATCCTTCTCATCAGTCCTCCTCCCCAGTCCTCTCCCAGTCCCCCTCCTTCTCCTCCTCCTATTCAGTCCTCCTCCTCCTCCTCCTTAGTTCTCCTCAGTCCTCCTTCTCATTTCTCCTAAGTCCTCCTCCTGAGTCCTCCTCCTGAGTCCTCCTCCTCTTCCTTCTGAGTCCTCCTCCTGAGTCCTCCTCCTCCTCCCTCTCGGTCATCCTCCTCAGTCATCCTCCTCAGCCATCCTCCCCAGCCATCCTCCTCAGCCATCCTCCTCAGTACTCCTCAGTCCTCCTCCTTCTCAGTCATCGTCAGTCCTCCTCCTCAGTCCTCCTCCTCCTCCTGGGTCCTCCTCCTCCTCCTCCTCCTGGGTCCTCCTGGGTCTTCCTGATCCTCCCCAGTCTTCTTCCTGCCTCCCCTCCTCAGTCCACCTCATCTCTAACTATTCTTCTCGTCTCAGTTCCTATCTATCATCCAACAGTCTCATACTTTCCAGTTCACTCGCTATGTCTTCATCTCAGCTGGTTTGTTTATTCAATGTTATAACTAATCGCATTCTCCGATTTCGGTGGAGATGTCGTATAAGATTCTATAAGTCTTTTACATTAAAGGATGGAAAGTTCTACTGAATCTTGCAATGTTCTATTGGCTCTCCCCAAACTTTGACCACCATAGGTAACTGTGAAAAACCATTTTTCATTCTAGTTCGTTAGATTCTCAGTATAGCTTAACCTCTTAACACTTTGATACCTCCATTCTCCGTGCTAACAAATATTACCTCAGTTTTTGGCATGGTCTAGCAGGGAGCTCTCCAATTATTGGAACTGCTCTTCAAATTTGCAATAAGGAGTGTCTCGTTAGATGGCACTAGTGTGCAGGTATTTCTAAATAAATCAGTTAATCAATATATTTCTTGTGTGTTTATAAAAATACCCACTGAATTGAACACTTGTCATTTCCCCAGTTCACGTGACTTTTGTGTACTGATCAGCTGTTAATCTGTCAGGTCATTTCCATCTGCTGTTGTCTGAAGACTGCACAATCAGCTCCCTATCTCTGAGATCTAACAAGATCAGTTGCACTGACATTGCACTCTTCTCTACAGCGCTAGCTACCAATAAGTCATTGACTAACCTTTCTCTACACAATAACTCGATCGAGGATGAGGGAGCCCAGCATCTTGCACGGGTACACAACTTGATCATTTCAAAAAGTGTAAAATCATCAAGTTCTTGCGAATAGTAATTACTATCTAGAATTAAATTTAAGAGTTTAATTGCAATTTTCTTTGAATTTCCAGGATTACAAACTAGGCTGTAAAATATCCTGTGAAACTAAAATCACTACTTTACAGGGATTACGGATGAACAGAACACTGTTGACCCTAAATCTGAGTGGTAACAAGCTCACAGATGTTGGAACTAAAGCTTTGTCCGAGATACTCACCAGTTTAACACTAAGCCACGAGGAGATTGTAGCAAGACGCAAACTTATTTCAGAAAACAAGTCGGCCCTGGCTACCGACGATGTAAGTTGTGATGGACGGAGTCGTAAGATTTACTTATGAATACTAAACCTCGATCAACGTTCTAAGTTCTAACGTTACTACTTACTAGTTACTGCTAGTTATTTTATACACGTTTATTGGACAACTCTACCTACCCAGATTTAAAATCAACCATTTTAATACATTTTTACAAAATTTATATTTGATACTCTGTGTTAGAATTTAGAAATAGCTGTAATGATCAATCGGCATTAATTAAATAACGTAAATAAGACTCTACAATGTGGTCATACATAAAATGTAAAATCAGGGATACCGATATACTTTTGTATCACATTTCAAAGGCTCCTATAACACTTAACAGTACTTTGTTCTTTGGTACTTCCGACATAATCGTGCGTTTGGAGAGGTTAGACATTTGGACTCCATTGACAACTCCGAATATCACGTTGACTTGGAAGATTTTTTGAAAAGAGAGCTGCTACTTCTGCTCATGTTCTTGTCCTTCTTTGCCCGTTTCTCTTCTCTTTTCACCACTTTCTCGCTTTTCACCTCCACTTGGTTAGATTTTCCCGCCATATTGTGAAGAAGGAGCTGCTTTTCATGTTCCCTGTTTCTCCTCTCTGCATCTAGCTCCGTCTCTAGGTGTCTCCTCAGTCTCCGTTCATACCTGCGAGTTTGAGTTATATTAACTCACTAATTCAGTCGAGTAATCAAGCATCTTGATTTAGTTTAATTGTCCAAATCTTCAGCGACGTATTTGTTAGAAAACCTCTATCACACTATAACAATGAGTGTCACTGTTCTGTTTGGACCAAAGAGATATTTATCTTAGTTCTTTTGATGATATGTAATTTAGCATGCACCGTGAGTAAGTGCATGCTAAGTAAACGATTGTATAAAAGTATAAAGGTACAACACCATCAGTGACTATTAACTATTCACACCCACTTGAGACCATCTAGTAGTGTTACCTGGTTACCTGGTTACCTGGTTACCTGGTAACCTGGTAACCTGGTTACCTGGTTACCTGGTTACCTGGTTACCTGGTTACCTGGTTACCTGGTTACCTGGTTACCTGGTTGCCTGGTTACCTGGTTACCTGGTTACCTGGTTACCTGGTTACCTGGTTACCTGGTTACCTGGTTACCTGGTTACCTGGTTACCTGGTTACCTGGTTACCTGGTTACCTGGTTACCTGGTTACCTGGTTACCTGGTTACCTGGTTACCTGGTTACCTGGTTACCTGGTTACCTGGTAACCATCAGTGACTATTAACTATTCACACCCACTTGAGATCAAGTTTGAGTTTAGAAATCTCGCACTCCATATCATAGAGTCTGGGGTCAGTAGGCGAGGAGAGTAGTTCGCCAATAGAGAGGTTCAACAGAGAGGGGTCCAGAGTAGGTACCAAGGTGTTGTGGTTAAAGTGGGGTTGTGGTGGGGTGTTGTGGTTGTGGTGGGGTTGTGGTGGTCTAGTTCCTGGTTTAGAACGTGGTTTAGTGTTCCAACCTCTGTCACGTGACCTGTACCTCTCTGAGCGTGTTCTGGCGAAGTTCCCTCCTTGCTCCTGCTCTTCATCTGTGTCCACCTGTATCGCACCTACAATGAGTCGATGTTTGGCCATTTATTGGGGAATAGGCTAACTTTAGGGGTTCTCAAACTTTTTGGGTAGTTTATACCTACCCCACACGTTGTCAGAACATTTAGTCTGATTATACTTGGCTACTTGATATCAGCTTAACAATCCTACAATAGATCACTATTTTCTGAGTTCATATTATAATTTATATACGTATATATATATATCACTCTGGACCCCCTATTTCTCACCTGAGATAGTGTGATAGCAAGTAGGGCAGGTTGAGAAGGACTCTTTCCAAATATTGAGGCACATGTTGTGGAACATGTGACCACATCTCATTACGCTCATATCATCTCGTAACTCGTGACCACATATCTTACAACCTCGCATCTTGTGGTAGTCACTGAGTAGTCACTGAGTAGTCACTGAGTAGTCACTGAGTAGTCAATTAGTAGTCACTGAGTAGTCAATTAGTAGTCAACGAGTAGTCAATTAGTAGTCACTGAGTAGTCAATGAAGAGCACCAGTTTGTGAGAGTCACAGTTTTCTAACAATATCAAAATGTTCACTAAACTATTGTAACTGTACAACATCAAACGTTAACAAGCTAAACCAGCCATTTTGAAAGAAAAGCAAACATAGTGCACGTCTTGTTAACTTTGTTTATTTAGCTGACAAGTGATTTTATTCTAGCGCCAAATCTTGATGTTTTATTGTGCCAACTTTACCTGACCATTTACCGGGTTTTGTAATATAGCGGGTTTTGTAACTGAAGTTCGAATGTTTAGGGCCGGTCAGGGAGCGGTTTGTCAGCCAGTAAGCTGAGCCGAATAGAGAGCACTCCAACATTTGGTAGTTCTCCTTCGCACGACAAGTATAGTCGCAGTGTCAGTCACAAGGTACACTGCATGAGCTTGTCATCTATTATGATGTTATGTGGTTATGTAATACCGCATAATGCGTTAATCTAATGCCGCATAATGCGATTATGTTATGCTACATAATGAGATATAATGAGAAATTTGGTCTAAACTGAGGCAATTGATGGATTAAATTATAATATTCTAACCAGACCCAAACATTCAACTGATTTTCATGATTTTGTTCATAATTCCATAAAAGAGCTATTCTTGTGAAATTAATTACTTTTTATAGTTGATCACGTGATTACTCCAATTGTCCTATTCAAAAACAGATGAATCGCCAATTATATGTCTGATGATCACACCCATCTTATGATTTTCTTGATCACTTCAAAATTAAGTAAATTTGAATTCGTTAATATCAAATCGACGCATAAAAATTAAAATGTTTAAACTTATTGATATGACTTTGGTGGTACGAGTCTAGACGACTTACTTCCAAAAAATGCGTGTTTTCTCTAATCTTGAATGATTTCTTTCTGAGTATAAAAAGCCATTGTGTAGAAGCAAAGTATAACAATTGAGTGTTAAAATTGAGAGCACCCTTCGATTTCAGCCGCCAACAACTCCTGGAGGTAGAACTAAAGACAGGCCCGGTAGCAACAGTAGAACTGGGTGAGTACCACCTACAGGTTATTCTCGTGATTTAGCTAATTTGTTAATGACTGCACGTCAAATTGCTCTCCAGGCAATATAGCTGTTCAAGAAAGAGATTAGAGAAAGTTGGCGATTGAACAATGAAGTCTTTTTTGATATGATTTTTTATTAATTATTCTGAATTAACAGGTCTCACACGGCGCTTGACAAGAAAGGGAAGGGTGGAGCAAGTGGAAAGGGAAACAAGAAACAGGACAAGATGGAGAAACCTGGAACTAAAGATGGCAGAAAGTCGGATATGGGGAACAAGGGGAAAGACGACAAACGCAAAGGTTAATAGTTCAATCAGTTCTTCTTTTTTACTATTCATGTTGTAATGCTAAAGCAACAAAGCATATTTTAGCCTTAAATAATTCAACTAGTGCTTCATCGATGTTGCTATTCGTAAATTAGTAAACTAGTCGGTTAATTAAATAGTAAGCTACTTAATTAGCTGCTAATGCTTGCTAGCTAATGCTGATACTTAAGGATCCCGAGCAGGGGCTGCAGACGCTAAAAAAGGGAACATTAAAAAGGGAACAGCTGGCAAGAAGTATCAGGAGGAGAAAGAGCAGGAGGTCTGTTTCCTGTTTTCTATATTTAGCTTTATTTATTCTTTACCCACATTTATTACCGACAGACTTTCTCATATTTGTGTTTTATTCCCGGAAGTAGTAGGAATAATCTGACGCTGTGATTTTCATGCAACTGCAATAGATTGCACCGAAGTTTATGGTTTGAGTAGCTGGCAGCATTAATAACCTGTTACGATTGCGTCGTAACACCACGTGAGCTCGTGTGTAATAGCACGTGATATTTCGAAATTATTACTCGTTCTACAGAGGTGAGAATACCGCGGTTACATTCCAACTCGAAGCGCAAGTTGCATTCCAGCCCTGCTAGTTGTTTCGGGCACATTTGAAATGAAATGAAAAATATCATTTTTATCCCACTTTTATAAACAAGAAAATTGTCACATCGGCTGGCCTATCATTATACTCCAAAAACTAGATATATCCAACTTATGAATATGACAGTAAAATCTAAGAAGTTTTTACTGACAACAATTCAAACAAAAACTTAACTTATTTCTAAATTTTACCTTAATATTAGACTGAAAACTAAAACCTGACTTTTAAGACTCCCCAGCCTGAGGTGGTCGAGTTCAGTAATCCTCTCCTGGAGTCCAACATGTCTGAAAAAGAAGGTAAAATTGTCGTTCCTGGCAACTACGCCCTGACCTGTCTCAACCTTAATAGTGAGTTTTGCAGCTGGTATTCAGATTGTTGTTTCAGTTTTTCAACTTTACCTCATGTCTGAAAATTTGAATCTCATTATGATTCTTAATGACCAGATGTAGTTCGATTAATGTATTAATTTCAATACTTAAAACTTGAGCATTTATTCATCTACACTTTCTCATCAACTGTAATATTCTCTAATCTTCCCTTAAAATGATCTCATGATCTTGACTTTTGCTTTTAACTTAATTCTTTGCACAGATAACGCTATCGACGATAATGGTATTACATATCTCTACAAAGCTCTTCACTTCCAAGAAAATAGCACCATGAAACGTGGAATCAAAGGACTCCTTCGTTTAACTTTAAAGGTGCACACAAATTTTTGGAGGCTTCATGATAAGTTACACATTTTAGGTTCGATTACCCCAGAGATAACCTTAAATATTGCTTACTCTTTGTCTTTAAGCTAGATCGTGGACAAGCAGCTTTCCGTGAAGCTCTTATCTGGAAAAATGGCCCATGTAAAATGTAATGTCTTTATCTAGATACTGAAACAAATTCTACTAACAAGAACCTTCCCATTTCAGAATAACAGATATGACAATGAGAGCAGATACTACACTGAATTGGTCGACATCATGACCCGACGAGACCCCTTCTATGAACAACCTCTCATTGAAGAAGATCAGAGCAATATCACCGCTCAAACTGTATGTCTTTAATTATTACCCCTTCACTTTCTTCACTTTATTGGCCGATGTGGGATCGACTGTATATTGTAGAATGTTGAAATGTTAACATGAAATAAAGATTAACTCTTGCCAACATGAGTCAAAACATCAAAACGTTCTTCTTTGAAAGGTAAACGGAACGCGCTTTGCTATTCTGATGAAATTCTTCTCGCGCAATTATTTTTGTTGCTATGGCAATCTGAGCCGCGCATAAGATATGCCTAGCTGGATAAGACTTTTTAAATTATATTTACTCACTAATGTGTCAAGACTTATTTCAATCCTACTTAACTCACTTTTCTCTTCCAGTGAAAAAGAGACGCTGAGAACGGGACGGTGTTTAAATTAATTCAGATTTAATGGACAACCTACCCGGTACCCTAAAACTTGATGATATCGTTTTGATCTGGTTGCCGGCCTGTGAAACTACTTTAAGCTGGACATACAGAACTCTGAGTGGAGATTTTGAGACAAATTTTCTGTGTAGAGACGGATATTTTAGTTATGAATTTGTAAATAGTTTTTATTTCAACCAAATAAAGTTCTTCGCTGTTTTCTGAAACAATTTAGCTGAAATCTACAAAAAAGGAAATCTAAACTGCAAATCAGAATTTCCTGTGACTAAATCACTCTCTCAAAATCAATCTGAAATCATTACTCAAAATCCATAATAATTTACAAGCACTTAACATTCAATTACTGAAAAAAAATCTGAGACATTAATTTTAAATCTTTCCTGTCAGCTCTTCGTGTGGGAAGGTGAAAATTTTGATAGTTTCTTTTTCTGTAAAAGGAATTGTTCAAATAAAATCAATAACATTTTTAGTCAATTCGAAGTTTAATAATTGATAATTGTATTTTTTAGTCAATCAAATATCCAATTTTCATGAATGTTTGATTTTTTAATTCATGACTGAAATAAGGAAGATAACTCTTTTAATGAGCTCTCTCCATCTTTGAAGTTTTCAACCACTTTTCCTCGCCTGATAAACATCGAAAACACTAAAATCCAAGTCTAATGATTCAATTCGCTGCCTATACAGCGAAATAACAGTCTGTCACAAGTACGGCCTTAAAACCAAATCACAATTGTTCAAGTCCGTAAAGTCTTGCTCATGGAGTTGAACTACTCCAGAGATCCATCTCACATGTCAATATTAGCTGTGCTGCACTTTGAGTGGCTGGTGAATTTGCTGTTTAAGGCGATGTTTTGTTTTGGTTTACGAACAGCTGGTTTGTTAAGACGGGGACTGTAGTAGCACGGCTTCAAGAGGTGACGGGATGGCGGGTGGTGGGTAAAGTTGTCAATCCTTGGTGGGATGGGTTTCATGTTCGCTGCTATCTCCAGCAGATTCTCAATACCTGACAATAGTAACAGATAAGATTGCAATTGGTTGGTAATAGTAACAAAAAACAGACAGCAACCAAATTTCAAAATTAAGATACGAATTGTAAAAACCCTTGCATTGTAAGACACCGTCGGGCCTCAACAAAACGTCGGCATCATAGTCACATATTGTACGTTATCATGGGCTTGTTCATTAAACGGTACACAATGAGAGGGTGCAAAACAAGCCTCACGTAATGCATAGGGGGTGCAAAAAACGCTATTATGTACATTGAATTCAAACAGATGTCACCTGATAATTATTAAGGCTAGCAACTCAATTATTCCTATTTATAAAATGGAACATACAAGATTTATAATTGCCCCTTCTCAATACTACGTGATTCTTAGCGTCAATCTAAACTTTAATGATATAAATACTGACCTTGTTCGCTGTACTCAGGACTCATAGGTACATCCATGAGAACTGGTTCCAGATAGGTGTAACCGGGCTTTATTACCTGACAAAGTAATATAGTCTAAGAGTCAGGTCATAGTTTCACTAAATTTACAACAGAGAATCGGTAACTTTATAGCTGACGGTCATATAAGCTATATTAAAATCTGGTTTGGTTTAAAATGCCGTATTATATTAGGCGAGTTTCACTTTCAAGATTGAACGGCCATGAAACATGAAAGAAGTTCAGGGAAGCAATTGTACACGCTGAAGTAGCAATCAACCAGAAAGAAAATCATTGCAGAGTTTCAGTTTACCGTTCTTTGTTTGTGAATTTTGAAGGAAGTAGGAGGAGTAGCAGGGTTTCTAGGCTCCACAGCCAGTACTGGATGCTCACAATCTCCACTTGTGTCGTAATACCAGTCATCTGAGTTACCTTGTGTAGAATTGGCCGCATATTGCTGACTCAGTGGCTTTAGCATCCTGGCGAAGGGGGGGTATTTTTTCGACGTCGAAACTGGAGAAAATTTCGCGAAAAACGCATGTGAGCCTAGATTTAATTTTCAATACATTTAACATAACATTAACTAAGTATATCATATTTTCATCATGAAAAATGTATTTGCAAACCTGTCGAATTCTGCAGTAAGCTCTCTGAAAGAAATAGGTTTCTGCTGGTTTTTCGGAGATGATTTCGCAGTATACAGATTGAGTAGATCAGAATGTTGAGGCATAGCCCTGTAGGGTTGACATATTATCAATTTCAAAGGCATTGAAATACTCATTTTCCATTTTTAAAGATTCACAACAATAAATGAAGAATCCTGATTCAGAGTGAATTTCTCGGAGACTGAAGGATAATTATCACTGTATTGAGTGCTTCAACTAATATTATTATTAAAGTGCTTAATTCTTGACTTGTAGGCTGTAGCATGCATGTTGTAAATAACGTACCCAAGAGGAACGAACGCTAAACTCAATTAACCACGTGCGCGTTGGCCTGCGCGCGCTCGATTTTAAACTGCACTAGCTGCCGAAATACACTATAAATTTTGTTGCGCCATACATAATAGTGATTTATAGAAGACCGCAATAATTTATCACGTGTCATTTTAACGCGAATCTGTTTGATTTTAAAACCTCGTTCGAACTTCTTGCGTTTAAAACTTGTCTAGCTAGTCACGGTAAGATAGGTTATCTATTACTTTATGCATACTTGTGGCAGACATAACAAAGGTTTATAACAAAGTTTGCTTGGAAGCTCAATTCTGTTTTGACACGTGACACTACACAAGTATTAGATATCCATTCAGTAGGCTGCCAAGATGTCGATGTTGATTCCTAATGTATCAAAAGCATCCATGTTTAAAACGTGCCAATTAACGCAGTAAGCTTGGGAGTAAGTTAACAAGAATAATTTACTCACTTAAACTTCAAAACTTCGCTTGGTGATTTCTCTTTCCCTGCGGACCTGTAAAATGAGGGTTATGAAATTTTAGACAGGAGCGCTGTTTAAATTAACGTGATAAATCCACGTGAGAAGGTAAGTTTAAATTTTCTGAAATTTTGTCGTGGAACATTGTTAACTTTAATATTCTTCAAATAAGAATATCTGAGGTGCTGGAAAAATCAAGATATTTTTCAGAAACTAATTCTTTAGAATTTAAAAGAAGCCATCGTGAATTTTCTAAATTTCTCGATTCACGACATTTAAAAAAATGGTAGCCAAAAACATTTATTGTAACCCCTTGTCATTCGGCAATGGATAGTATTTTTTATATTTACAGATTTCAGTGCTCAAAAACTAATTAAAACAAATTACAACACTACACTATCTATTACATTTATTGAGAATATGAAGATATGAGTATGACGTAGAAATTTCGATACGTTATTCAGCTATTTATTTCATTAGAATCTGTCTTCACTGAGTATATTCAGAAACAATCAGAAATTTGAATGAAAGAAACATAAAATCATGAGACTCAATAACACTACCCGAATCCACCAGTGCACAAAAACTTGTAATCACGTACGAAAATGGTTGTTTTCTGCTGCACATTATATTATAGATTTTTAAATCCACTCTTTGACGCGAGAAGATTAGAACTATTCGAACTACGCTTAATACAATCTTATTGTATCATCCTCAGCAAATTTATATAATTGTAGTTGTGAAATTAGTTTACAACCTCCGCAGTCCGCATTTGAAAATTGCTTTGTCAGCCGATCAAAATCTCTGGTTTTAATGCTGCGCTTTAAATGTAGAATATCTCTGCAGTTGTACATTAATCTTACGAAAAGTTAGCAAGCAAACTCTTGTCACTTGTGGGAGTATTATCAGATCGTTCTATATTATATTTACACACTTACACAGCGAATCGCAAGATTTATTATTATATCACGGTTTATGTAAGGTCATCATATGATTTAAAAGATTTATGGCGTCGTCAGGATGCACGATAACGGTTTCATAACTTCTCAGTGACAGGACTTTGAGAAGGTGGTTTACGAATATTGTTGAACTTTCAACCATTTACCATATTTACCATATTTACCGGTGAGAACGGAGTTAGAACCTATTTGGATCCAAATGAACTTTGAAAAATTTAAGATAGGATCCTCTATTAGAAGTGTATTTGTAAGCTAAATCTGTGACAAATCAGTAATTTTAACACTTAAATTAGATTCTATTAGAGTTCAGACCTCCACAGTGCATCATCCCAACAAATCGGAGGCAGTTTTTGTCGAGCAGTGGACTTCAGAGCGTCACAAAGTATCATATCATCTGACAAGGCTATCTGATCCAATACATCAGGGTTAGAGGTGGGTGTCTCCTCCGGAATGGGGGTCTTGATTTTTGTTGGTGGATAAAGTCTTGTTTTGCTCACTACTTGAGTTATCGTCTGTACAGTCATTTTACTATGAGTTTCAATTTTTTAAGTTTTAATGATCTAGTTTAAATATTTAATTTTGGGGATAAATGTGTCTCACAATCACCATTCATCTCCGCAACATTTATCAGGAAGGGATTTTAGAGCTATTCGTTTTCACACTATCACAGTTGTCACTGAAAACTCAAGAATGACGTCCCATTCAGAATGACGTCATTACTACTCAGGGCACATGTCATTAGTTCAACGGGTTCAGATGTCTGTAACTATGATTATAGGCGATAGAACTGCATAACAATGACATGTAATATGGGTGTTAATAGATTTACTAGACAGAGAACCTAGAATTGGGAGGTAATTTTAGGAATGTATGGGTTTATAGCATTTCGATCTCCAGAACAGTAGAGCCAAGCAAAGAGAGACGGTCGTCAGGGACATGAAAAATTGGTCAACTAGCAGCCTGTAAGCTACACTTTATCGAAACGGTGCTATAAAGAGTACTGATAAGACTAATAAGGACTGCAGAATGAGCTTGTGTGTTTTTAATAATTGATTATTATTAGTGTATTCAAGTTTTTGTTGTGTGGAGGATGTTTTAACTCATCTTGTGTGCCCAGTCTTGCACTGTCAGTATTTCTCGACACTTTGAGCACACAAACTGTAGTTTTCGCGACAATTGTCAGATTTCGTTTTCAGTTCTGTCAATTTCATGCGCTACTAGCTCTACTACTAGTAGTCTACTTCAGCTCATATTAAAGGGAGTTTTCGTCGTGCGTGTAGCGCCCTTCAAGTTTAACTTGGACGGATAGGATTTATAAAACTTCTGATTATAATATTTATACTATATTGTATTTTGTATCTATGTATCTTAGTAAATGGTCATTAGAACCACCGGCACCGTCCGGGCCCAAACAAAAATTATAGATTTTTAAATCCACTCTTTGACGCGAGAAGATTAGAACTATTCGAACTACGCTTAATACAATCTTATTGTATCATCCTCAGCAAATTTATATAATTGTAGTTGTGAAATTAGTTTACAACCTCCGCAGTCCGTATTTGAAAATTGCTTTGTCAGCCGATCAAAATCTCTGGTTTTAATGCTGCGTTTTAAAGACTGTACAATATCTCTGCATAGCAGTTGTACATTAATCTTACGAAAAGTTAGCAAGCAAACTCTTGTCACTTGTGGGAGTATTATCAGATCGTTCTATATTATATTTACACAGCGAATCGCAAGATTTATTATTATATCACGGTTTATGTAAGGTCATCATATGATTTAAAAGATTTATGGCGTCGTCAGGATGCACGATAATGGTTTCATAACTTCTCAGTGACAGGACTTTGAGAAGGTTCCAGGTGGTTTACGAATATTGTTGAACTTTCAACCATTTACCATATTTACCATATTTACCGGTGAGAACGGAGTTAGAACCTATTTGGATCCAAATGAACTTTGAAAAACTTTGAAAAACTTAAGATAGGATCCTCTATTGGAAGTGTATTTGTAAGCTAAATCTGTGACAAATCAGTAATTTTAACACTTTAATTAGATTCTATTAGAGTTCAGACCTCCACAGTGCATCATCCCAACAAATCGGAGGCAGTTTTTGTCGAGCAGTGGACTTCAGAGCGTCACAAAGTATCATATCATCTGACAAGGCTATCTGATCCAATACATCAGGGTTAGAGGTGGGTGTCTCCTCCGGAATGGGGGTCTTGATTTTTGTTGGTGGATAAAGTCTTGTTTTGCTCACTACTTGAGTTATCGTCCGTACAGTCATTTTACTATGATTTTCAATTTTTTAAGTTTTAATGATCAAGTTTAAATATTTAATTTTGGGGATAAATGTGTCTCACAATCACCATTCATCTCCGCAACATTTATCAGGAAGGGATTTTAGAGCTATCCGTTTTCACACTATCACAGTTGTCACTGAAAACTCAAGAATGACGTCCCATTCAGAATGACGTCATTACTACTCAGGGCACATGTCATTAGTTCAACGGGTTCAGATGTCTGTAACTATGATTATAGGCGATAGAACTGCATTAACATTACATGTAATATGGGTGTAATAAAGATATTACTAGAACAGAGACCTAGAATTGGGAAACAAGGAATGGAGGAATGTATGGGGGAGGTGTGATAGATTTTCAGTATTTCAGAGACTTGAAAGTTAAAATCCATATGGCATATTCACCGATTGAAAGACGGTCGAAGTTCAATGCTGTAAAACGTGTTTTTTGCAACTAGAATGGGTTTGGGTGGAAAGCTAGAATGCCAAACTTCTTCTATAGAGCCAACCAATTGTGTAAAACAGTCTACGATGCCTCGTTTGCCCGACTAAAACTTTGGAAACATCCAAGGTTAATATTGTAAATTTCTTAGATACCAAACCAGATTATGCCCCCACATAGGAATGCTACACAGAAAATGTATTGAACTGATTAAACCAGTCGGGTGACCTGTGCCCTGATGAACTATTCGATAGGTTGTGGTGAATATTGTAACCAGTTTATTACGCTTGATCTTAAAATTTCATAGAGTACAAGACTAAAAGAGCCAACAAAAAACCAGAATACCTCCGCCAACAATATTTTAAACTAATGATCTGTGTATGACGTTAGATATTCACTATTTCCACCGTGAAGTGTTACCCTCAAATCTTAAATTAAAAAAACAAAGCTTGCTGATAGCATTTTTGATTGAGTGTTATCTTTCCGCCAACAATATTCAGCCGTTAGTACTACTCCCCCACAATCTGCCGGTACAGCTTCAGATTATAAGCTGTCTCGTCATTTCTCGAGTAGAAAGATTCTACAAATTAATAGATAACAAACGTTCATTTGTTTGGTCCAAGGTGGCTCATAATATCGCAATCTGTGCTCTTAAAAGCAACAAATGAGAGAGCAATATCAAACTACAAACGTAACTAACTGGAAAGAATCGTTCAGAATACTACATGGAGCATGTCAGGTTTTTGTTATACCGCGTCCTTATAGCATAATATTTTGTGCAAATTATCATGTTCCATGTTTCTCTATTGAATACGTATGTGTGTCAGTTAAAATATGATGGATATCTGCACATGCATGCATTTGAGGCCGGTACAAGTATTCCCACGCTACAGTCGAGCACACATTTGCGACTCCTATGCCTATATTTTGAATCTCATTAATCAGGTAATTTTTACATGTTCTCATCCGTTATTCTTATCCAATTTGATCAACTTTCACTAAAATGGCAAGGTACGCAGATACATGCTAAATATATTGCTTGATTCTTGAGAATCATGTAATTATTTTACCTAGCACGAGTGCTCATTAAACAACAATCAAGCAAAACTCGATCACTTTTAAAGCTAGACAAAGTTACATATTCTCTGAACTGCAAGCCGCCGCGAATCTATATTTCACAGTAAGATTCGACTATATCTTTGTGATGAGATAATGAAGATTTTCACAGAACCAAAAACGATCATCGAATTCGAGACAAAGCACGATTTTTCCAACGGAAAAATATCTGTAAACAAGTTATTAAATTACTGATTCCAGGTCGTAGGCTTACATGGCATCCCACAGTGTTATTATAAATAGTTTTTAAATGTTATGGAGCCTGAGTAAAATCAGTCTCAGAATTTGGAATCCGTTTACCGTTGTTTTAAGGCGAAATATTAATCCAAACTGACCACGTGTTATTTAGATCACATTTTATTAAGTATGTTAATGGCGACTAACCTGAGCCTAGCAGGAGAAGCACTGCTGGGTCTGGACGAGATACGGATCTCCTCATCTGGTCCTGGCTCTTCACTCGGGCCCTCCTCTGCAGAATTAGGTTTAGGAGCTAGGGCAGGACTGACAGGAGCCGGGGTTACACTCTTATCTGTTACCGGGGTGAATCTCTCGTCATCTACCTGCAAGTGGGTGTATGTTAACTTATGGTAGGGTGTAGGTGACTCACAAGGATCGGCCAGGACCGCATTTACTTTTCAGGACCGAGATGTTTCAATATGAAACCAATAAAATATTACCCAGCCAATTTTAATTGATGACTCTAAGTATGTATAATGTTTATTGATTATTGATGCTGTAATGGTTTCAGCAGAGCATAATATCTAAAGCAGTTTTTATTTTGAAGTTGTATTCAAAGAAAGTTCTAGTTAATATATATTTATGCAGTGTAAACTGTAAAGTTATAGTGTATGCGATTTCCAGAGTATTCTCCGTTTTGATTTTTGCGTAAACGTTCAACGTTAAAACATTATCTTTGTGGCATCACTATCAGACAGTCTGACTGTATTGGTCTGGATTACAAGATACACAATTATCCTTTACATGAAGGATGATATAAGAAATCTGGAATATTATGTACAGTGCTTTAAGCTGAATAGAGCGTTAGCTGACCCATGACAATTTAAACCTTCATTACAAAGGAAAAATTACCTCGTCATTTCTGGGGACAGTGATGGAATAAGGAACTGTCTTGACCATGTCAGCATCAGTGGTTTTTGAATCCTCTGCCACTTCTTCTGCATTATTCAGACATTTGTCACGCAATTCTTCTGATCCTGGGAAAGTTGACATTTACGGTGAGAAAAACAAGGCAAAAAAACCTTATTATAAATACAACAAACTGAATAATGCCAAGAATTACCTATTTTCGTGGTGTGCTTTCCGATTGACTGCAAAACCTCTTCCGAGGAGTCGTTTATTGTTGGCATATTATTATCTTTTGATAAAGAGCTTTCAGTACAACTATATGCAAAACACTACCTATAATCAGTTTTAAACAGTAACATTTAAACGATCCCATTAACAACTACTTGTCGGATTGGATTGGTTAATTATTTATTTAATTTTCATACAAGAAAAAGCAACAAATAATGTTTTTTAAAATCACAGCCCATATCTCTCACTAAGTCGATCGTGAAACGTTTTGAAAAAAATATATATATTTGTGATATGTTCTGTCTTCCACAACACTTGTGTTCATCAAATTGCAGCTGAGCAACACTGATTTGTAAATTGTACCTGAAAATTCAAGCAACCCCCAGGATCCAAATGCTGGACTTTTCTAATGACCTTGAATCATGAATCACAAATGGAATAGACAAACTGATACCTATTGTTTAAAAATGGTTTGGTTTACTTATGGTAAGGGCACAGCCTGTCAAAAACGCTTTTTACATGATCCATCGACACTGCCTCAAGGTGACTGCATAATAAGGGGTTAAAGTGGAATCATATGATAATAAGCTTGCAGCTTTCGATAACAATGTGTTCAATGTTGGTCTCGGCCTGGTATCATGCCAGTATTGGTTTTAGATCTTTTGCCTATTGTTTTTTAATTGTGTTGGTATAATGAGCTAATATGTACATGTGATATATATAAAAGTATATAGCGAGCATATTTGATAATTATACAGCTATAACTGCCGCATGACAATATAGCTTAAAAATTAAATTTAACTTGAGTGTAGCAATATTATCAAATTTTTGAATTTAGTACAATAAATAATGACAAATAAAACCCAGCGCCACTCTCAGCAGTCAAACAGGGCTTATAAATCTTAACTGCACCTGGGTCCTTTCACTAACTGGTGTGGTCAGGTCGACTTTAACAGCTTGAGTATTATATACCAGCTAGCTGCTAGCATACGCACTAACTCCACTAAAGTATATTAATTATAATAGTATAGTGTCTTATCTGATGTCATCATCTAGCGCCAAAATTTAGTTGGATATTATTTATGTGGTATGTATGTATATATTTTATTGGTTGATTGTGTAATAAATTGGTGATAAATAACAAAATTGTCTTTTCTAAAAAAAATTGTCTTTTCTCATGATGTGTTGCTAACCCCTATAAAGTAAAGTAAAATTAAGTAAAATTTATGACATAAAATATATCATCGCACTATATGTGAAAAATAGTTAATAAATATTTCCCCACCAACATTAATTAGTTATCAAATACACTATTTTTCTAAAAAAATATTAAAACATTATCTTATTTTAAATGAGGTGCACTTAAGATTAATCTTTACCTTTTTTGCCTTTGAATAGCTTAGAGTCTTAAACTTTGGCTTAAAATGACCGCAATACACATACTTACATGTCACTATGAATTAGTGGTTTTAAAGGTAACGTTGTAGCGCGATGCGTTACTGTGCCAGATCGGCGAGATGCGCTACTGTGCCGCGCCGAGCTGCCATGAATTGACATCGAGCTGCCATGAATTGACATCGTCAATTAAAAGGTAACGCTGCTAAATTTCAGGGCAGGGCTACACAGCCAAATCTACAGGTGTTTTTAATTGCACAATTGGAGACGCACAATAGAATTTGACGGATGTTACTCGTCTAAATTTCTTCGAACTAGCGCGCGCCGGGCCAGACCATTAACAATGGTCAAAAGAGAATTAAACTTTAAGACAAACTGAACCCCGAACTCCCGAAGCGAACAAAACCTACGATTTGTTTTCAGATCATTTTTTACCATTGTTAATGATCTGGCCCGGCGCGCGCTACTTCGTAGCACTTGCCAACATTTCGAGAAGAAAGCAGCGCGCGCTACTTCGAAGAAATTGAGACGAGTAACATCCGTCAAATCATTTTTGAGCAAAATTAAAAATAACAAATAAATTGCATTAAAGTAATTTTGATTTATTGGATCGGTAATCAAAACTAATTATATTATGTAATAGTATAAAGGTTTGGCGAAGGTTTATAAGTAGTGCAATGATTTACTTAGCCGCGCCGTGCATCAAATAATGTAGACCATAAATCTTCGGTATATCGGCAAAAATTGCCGCAAAATGCACCAGGGCACTATACACTATAGTTGGCATGGCAGCATGACTGGACGTCTAACTTTTTTATTTATTTTGGCGTTTTAAATTTATTTTGGCGAAGCTTATTTGTTATTTGCATGCCACAGGGGGATATGAAACCAAGTTTTCGATCAAACGCTGCCATTTGTAGTCAAATGTCGCCAACATGACAGTTGCTCTCGTCCAATGGAGTCACTGCATTTTGCAAGTCATTACGCATAGTTGAATTACATATATTCGTATGCAAAGCTTGGCTTACATAATGCAGTTGACCATTGTTAATAGTTTGGCCCGGCGCGCGCTACTTCGTAGCACTTACCATTTCGAGAAGAAAGCGGCGCGCGCTACTTCGAAGAAATTTAGACGCGTAACATCCGTCAAATAATGCAGCGATTTCAAATTGGACGAGAGCAACTGTTGGCGACGTTTGATTACAAATGGCAGCGTTTGATCGAAAACCTAATTTCGTATCCCCTGTGGCATGCAAATAAGCTTCGCCAAAATAAATAAAACGCCAAAATAAATAAAACGTTAGACTTCCAGTCACGCTGCCATACCATGCCAGCTATAGTGTATAGTGCCCTGGCATGGTGCATTTTGCGGCAATTTTTGCCGATATACCGAAGATTTATGGTCTACATTATTTGATGCACGGCGCGGCTAAGTAAATCATTACACTACAAAACCTTCGCCAAACCTTAATACTATTACATAATATAATTAGTTTTGATAACCGATCCAATAAATCAAAATTACTTTATAATGCCATACACTTTATTTGTTATTTTTAATTTTGCTCAAAAATGATTTGACGTATGTTACTCGTCTAAATTTCTTCGGAGTAGCGCGCGCCGCTTTCTTTTCGAAATGTTGGCAAGTGCTACGAAGTAGCGCGCGCCGGGCCAGATCAAAAAATAAAATAAATAAAAATAAAATAAAATAAATAAATAACTAAAAAGTAAGGCGCGCCGCTCATAATCACATATTTACACCATGTAAGGCCGACCAAAACAAAGCTACTTGTCTATGTTACTGAAGGAAGTTGGGACAAACTCTAAAGAGGAACTGCGAACCCTGATGCGGGACAGGGATATATTGAGGGGCTTTCTGGCGTAGATCGGAATTAGCTCCGACATAGTAGTAGTAGTAGTACACCATTTAATGACAATCGAGTGCTAAATTAATATTCGTTATTTGCACAGTTTCCCAGTTAACTTATATTTAACCAGTTTGGTTTTAATTATTTTTATCCATAGCTCCCTGCTTTGGAACGAACAGATCAAAGCATGCATCTCTATAGTCAAATCGTATGATTTGTTGGATTGTAAGGAATTTAGTTATTAGAGAAAAAGTTGCTACATATAAGCTTAAGGGCTTTAATGCGTATTCTGGTAAGAGGTTTGCCTTCATTAGACAAAGTGCCTGGGATTAGTATCCCAACTTAAAGAAGTGATCTATCCCAGACCACAAACTTTCCACTGTCATATAAAGCTATGCTCTGTCCTTGATATCGGTTTCTGTTTTGCTTGTTAAAAAAATGTTGGTGCATGATTCCACTTTAAAAGTGTGCAATTTTTACTCCGGATTCGGACTCAAAACATGTACACAGTAGACCCACAAATTCATAAAAACTAACAAATTGGCGAAGGTTTCAAAGTATGCCATAATTTTGCTTAACATCAGATTAGGATTTCAACCAAAGCAAAAACTAGAAAAGCTTTATTTCTTTCAGTTACTTACTTGGGTTACTTGGGTTGGGTTCCGAGCTAGAGTGCTACCAGGCCAAGAATGTCTTGCATCTCCACCACCAAGTAGTAGCGTGTCGGTCCAGTGTACCCAGGTGTTGGTGGAGTGTCAGGGAATTCATTGAGGAAAGCATCAAGAGCAGGTTTGAAAGTGGTCAATGTTAGGAGGGACTTGATGCTAGGAGGGACCACATTGTACAGTGCAGAGGCTCTAGAGGCAAAGGAGTTGAACCTCAGCTTCAGGTTATTGACACTAGTGTACTTGGAGGACCCTAGTGGTCGTATACACGTAGTTCCGTATCGTGAGGTTTCGCGGAAGTTGATGTTCATACTGTTTGGAGCGAGATTGTTATAGATCTTCCAAACTAGGATGATAGTGTATCTCTCACGCCGCCTTTGAAGGGAGTACATAGACAGGCGACGGAGGCGTTCCCAGTAGTTGAGATTTCCAAGACCCTGGATTTTAGCAGTGAAGGATCGTTGAACTGCTTCGAGTTTAATAATTTCGCACTGCATGTGAGGAGACCACAGAGGACAGCAGTATTCCAGATGAGATCGTACGTAGGACTTGTACAGGAGCATCATGGTCGCTACATCCCTGGAGATGAAGGTAAAGTAAAAGTAAAGTAAAGTAAAAATGATGACATAACATCATCACACATGTCTACAAAGTATCAAATCACTATATGGAAAAATATAAATATCTTACCACCAAAATTAATAAATTATTAACTACAACTTTATTTTAAAATTTCAAATAAATTCAAAAAGCATCCCCAAAAGATAACCCTATTCATACTTCCCAGTGGAATAAAGATTTATAAATCGCTTTTTTGCCACAAAAGGGTGGAAATAAAGATAATCGTTATGCTTCTCTTTATTACTAACATAGCTAGGTCCTTCAATTCTCCCTAATACTTCATTTGAAACATTCCAAAAATGTGAATCATTAGAAATATCCTTAGAAATCATGTCTTTCTTAAACCCTTCTAATTTAATCTTAAAACTTAAAACAGTCACAGAGTTCTTAACATCTGGAGGAAGTTTGTTCCAGCAAGGAATAACTCGCTCTGGAAGAAATGAACTTTGGAGATTCCTAATCTTTGCCATACTCTTACAACATCTGTTGGATGATACAAGATTAAGACCGGATCTGCTCACTTTGAACAAATCTGAGCCGTACTCGGTCAAACCATTAATAACCTTAAAAGCTTCAATAAGGTCCCCACGTATTCGCCGCTCTGCCAGCGTTGTCAAATTGAGAATTTCCAGTCTACGGCTGTAAGGAAGAGTACCCACCTCATTAATAAGACGGGTAAACCGCCTCTGGACGCTCTCCAGCTCCAAAACAATCCCCCAACTTCCATGAGCCGCAACTGGATTCCACAATTGGACACAATACTCTAGATGAGGTCTTATTAAAGCTTTATAGATGGTTATCATAACTCCTTTTTCCCTTATTACTAAATTCCTTATAATCCAACATATCATACGATTTGCTTTAGAAATGCATGCTTTTATCTGCTCATTCCAAAGCAAGGAGTTATGGGTAATAACCCCCAAGTCTTTTTCCTGAGCAGATGCTTCAAGTTCTACACCATTAACAAAATAATTTAAGTTAGGATTACTATTAAGATTAACATGAACTACTTTACATTTGGCAGGTACTCTCCCAAACTTCCAATTCTGCAATGTCATCAGCAACACTCTCATGTTTAGCCGCATTACCAATCAGCTTAAGATCATCAGCAAATTATTTTATTTTATTCTTTACTAAATCAGGTAAATCATTTATATACAGCAAAAATAAGAGAGGGCCTAAAACAGAACCCTGAGGGACACCAGATAGCACGTGTTTCACCTCAGACCATTGTCCTTCTACAGAAACTTTCATAGTCCTATCTGTCAGAAAATCCTTTATAACATCTAATACTTTTCCCCTAACACCAAATCCTTCCAGTTTAGACAGAAGTCTAAAATGGGGGACTGTGTCAAACGCCTTACTGAAGTCAAAATACAATAGATCAACAGGGGCCCCCTCATCTAATATGTCAAGAATGCTGTCAAAAGTTTCTAAAAGATTTGATAAACAAGATTTACCCTTAACAAATCCGTGTTGATGCTTGGAAAACCGGTCTATAATTTAAGGGGTCAGATTTCATACCCTTTTTAAACAATGCTACTACAGATGCAGACTTCCACACTGTGGGTAAACAACCTGTTTCTGAACACTTCTGAAACAACTTAGTTACTGCTTCGACAAAATTGTCGTCATAAGCCAAAGATTTTAGCAACTTTGGATGGACTCCATCCGGACCTGAACTCTTAAAAATATTAAGGTTTAAAAGTTGCTTCTTGATATCAGCACTACTAACTTGTAAATCATCAATAACATCTTTATTATAATCCAAAGTATCATTTTTTGGAAGAGGGCCAGGTGGTTCGTTTAAAAACACTGAGGTGAAAGCACTTGCAAGTACCTCAGCAGACTCAGCAGAACTGTCTGTACGCGTACCATCTCCCCTATTCAAAGAAACCGCACTTGATTTAACTTGCCTTTTATTACGTAAATAAGAGTAAAAAGACTTACTATTTATCTTTAAATTATAGATGTTTTCTTCTTTTCATAGTTAACTTTAGCTTTAACTTCAGCGTAGCACCCAGCTAGCCATGTTTCTGGCTTTGGCAGACTTCATCGCTATGTGAGTGCGCCAGTTGAGGTCTGGGTCGATATAGACACCCAGGTCCTTCACGTGGTTAAAACCCCTAAGAGTCTCTCCAGATGGTAAGATGTAGGGCTGCTTCAAGTCCGGTAGTGAAAATAATATTTAATAAACTATCAAAGTTGGCATTAATTTGAAACTTACTTTGATACCCTTGAGCAGGCCCAACTATAAACATTTCCTGCATCCAGCTTGTGATCTTGACTGATAATTTTGAATGTTATAGTACCTTGAAATTCTTAAATGAGTGCAAGGGGAGAATTTTAACCCCGCATTCTATTATACTATATATGTTAGCATATGTAATTTCTACTACTAGACAATGTTTCATGTAGGGTATGCTAGACGAAAAGTATAGATGGATTGCAGAGTGTTTTCGAGACACTATGGCTGGGGTGTTTGGAGGCATTACAGCTGTTTATTCTACTCAACCTCTTGATACGACTAAAGTTAAAATGCAGACATTTCCTAATGAATATCGTTCTGTAATAGTGACATTATCGAAAACTTTCAAGCAAGAAGGCATCAGAGGTCTGTATGCTGGATCCATTCCTGCTGTTCTTGCCAATGTTGGTGAAAGTGCAGTAGCATTCCTGGCTTATGGAAGGATCAGTTCTATAGCTCAATATATGACTGGCAGTAAAAGCCATCAAGAGTTATCCTTGTTGAGTCAAGCTTTCTGTGGGGCTGGCTCTGGAGCATGCGCTTCATTTGTCCTTACACCCACTGAACTGGTTAAATGCAGACTACAGACTCAGTATATCACTGGAAAAGCTGCAAAAGGTGTACCCACCACACCATTTGCCATGTTCATGCACATTGCTACTAAAGAGGGACCTCTAAAACTTATGAGAGGGTGGACGCCAACATTATTGAGAGAAACGTGGGGCTATTTTTATTTCTTTGGTGGCTATGAAGCAGCAAAAAAGGTTCTAATGAAAGATCCTGATGAAATTTCTTTATGGAAAACTGCTGTGTCAGGCGGTGTTGGTGGAACAATGTGTTGGGGATTTGCTTACCCAATAGACGTCGTCAAGTCTCAGGTTCAGGTGGGGTCTCTTTCTCCTTTAAATGCAATGAAGAACATTTACAGCGAATTTGGTTATAAGGGATTTTTCAGAGGAATAACTCCTTGTTTAATGAGGGCCTTTCCTGGTTGTGGAGCCTTGTTCGTAGCAGTGGATTATACAAAACTAGCCTTTGACAAGGTAGTCTTTAAGCCTTACTAAACTAGAGGTAAATATTTATGAATTTAATTTGAAATTGAGAATTTTTACTCTTACTCTTGTAATCTGCTTATATTTTATAAATGAACGGGTTTCTGATCTAGGTTTAAGTTATTAATAGGTTAAATAAGTTATTTATTGTAGCAATATATTAATACAGCTTGATCTATGATGTTATTTTAATGGAAAGATGTCATGTAATAGTTTGGACGCAGAAGATGAATCCGAGATTGTGGAACCAGATGATACGGTTTTTGAGGCATTTTAATACGGTCATTTTAGTCTGTTAAAGTAATTTCAGAGTGCTGGAAATGGTTTCACGGTGTAGGGGGATGTGTTTACTAACTATTTTGACGTCAAAATTATCGCCAGAGGCTCCCTAAGTCATGGAATGAACGGAATGAACAAAAATGAATTTTTTTTCTAAAACTCATCGGATTGCCCCAAAACAGGTCGGAATCGTTTGGTATTGACCCTTATAGTGTTCCTACAAAGTTTGGTGGCCCTAGCACTCCCAGAACGCCCACTAGAGACTTGATTCCATTTCCGTATCAAAAAGCTGGTTCCTGAGTATCCGATATTGATACGGTCATTTCAGTCTGTTAAAGGGGCAGCAGAGTGCTGGAGATGATTGTACGGTGTAGGGGGATGTGTTTACTAACTATTTTGACGTCAAAATAGTCGCCCAAGATTCCCCGAGTCATGGAATGAACGAAATGAACAAAAATGAACATTTTTCTAAAACTCGTCGGATTGCCCCAAAACAGGTAGGAATCGTTTGGTATTGACCCTAATAGTGTTCCTACAAATTTTGGTGGCCCTAGCACTCCCAGAACACCCATTATACCCTTGGCTGGATTCAAGAATTTAGAACCAGTTGAGCAGATAAAACGGATTTTGAGAAATTTTGTCTGCTTGTGTTGCTGCAGAGAGTTGAATTTGGTTCAACAGTATTCAAACAAGATGTGTTCCAACTTAGTTTTGTAGCCCTACTAGTTTCAGAACGTCCACTAGAATCCAGTTTCCATTTTCTTCCAAGAAGCTGTAGACAAGGTTGTTTGAAATTTAAATTTAACCTCTCTGGTAATACAACTTTTTACTTGGATGGATTTCAATAATTAAAGAGAGCAGATTGTTACTTTGTTATTTTTGAGATTTGATTTTTTGATATCATATGTACAAATGTATAAATCAGTTTCTACAAATTGTAACAGCAATTGGCAGTAATAAAGCGGTAGTAATAGTTTTGCACAACATCAATCATAATATCATTCAATACTTCAATACCTTCAAAATAATTTAACTCGGTTATAATAATTTAAACGCAGATCTAAAAGAATTAAGCACAGTAGTAGGATGAAGTTCCAGGCAAGGTTGGAGGAAGGTAGAGGTGAAGCTGTGGGTAAGGATAGTAGGCTGGGAAGGATCCATTTCTGATCCCGCGAGAGCAAATCCAGTTCCAAGTGAGAGCAAATCCAGTTCCAAGTGAGAGCAAATCCAGTTCCAAGTGAGAGCAAATCCAGTTCCAAGTGAGAGCAAATCCAGTTCCAAGTGAGAGCAAATCCAGTTCCAAGTGAGAGCAAATCCAGTTCCAAGTCTCGACAAGCTGCTTATCATTTTGTTCAGGAGGTATGGGAGCCCGGAGGAAGAATTAGGGTTGGTTTCTGAAGAGGTAGTGATACCAAGATAGGGGATTAGGGGATGTTAGGTAAGTGCTGATAGCCGATAGGTGCTCCCTAGCTAGTTATAACAAGCTATTTTGTCCCATTCGTAAATATCTAAGCTTTTGTTGATCTGAAACTCATTGTCTGGAACTGTTGTTATCAAATTCTGGAACTGTTGTAAGCTTTGTCTGGATCCAGCAGGAGAAGGGGGAAGAAGGAACTCTGTAGCAGGACAAGAAGGCGCAGTCTTCTTTCTTCACGACCAGTTGGCCGCACAAACAATCAGATCACATTCAAAATTACATCATATCTCTCATTGCCAGTAATAAATAATTTAAGTTTCACAGTTAACTCCATCCAGTAATTATTATGATAGTAGTTCAAAATACAAACCAATAGAGCAATGGTCTTTCAACGTTATCTATCTTTGCATCCTGAAGTGGGTTAGGTGAAAATTCGTCGACCGCACGTAATCGTAGATTCAGAGTGTAAACAAAATTTGTGAAAATGGGGATCGTACAGTTATTTTTCAAATCTGACAGTTGAGAAGTCAAGAAACGTTCTTTTATCAGGCTAAACGAAATATATCAAACTCGAAAAGCTGATATTTGCAAATTTATCGAATGAAAAACATGATTCATCTTTAGGTGTATATTTTCATGATATCTAGGATGCAACTTGGAATACTATATATTATATATATACTACAATGTACTGCAATTCAGAAAATTCTAACGCCTAAGACTGATGAACGAAAGACTTAGACCTGAAATCAAGTTTAAAAGATCTCAATGTTACTTTATTGTGCATTCTAGGAGGCTTAGTGGTAGGAGGGACAAACCTATTCTCTATGAAGCTTTGCCTTACCTTAGAGCGGATCATTGGGCCTCTTAAGTGCTCGTACTGACGGGGATGATGTCCCTTAGATAATGCCCACAAGAAACCTAAAGCCAAAGGACCACAATCATAAGAATTACCCTGCACCTGCGTATCAATATACCTAACTAAAGTAGTGAGAGGTCTTAACTTAAGAATACAGTGAGTGATGGACTTATCTAAAACAGTACTGTTCTCTAAACTAGCTGAGGTTTTCATGGAGTCAAAAATTTCTACAACATGAGGTTCACTTATGAAAGTAAGGGCGTTAGATATACAGAACCAATGTAAATTACTAGGATTAATTATCTGGATAAACTTACTGTCAACTGGACTAAAACTACTATAACTATAAGGACTGGATAAGCAAGTGTCTTGAAATGAAAATGAGTTGGAACGATGAATTCTACACATGTTGCTATAACTATTAACTATAATATCATCATACCATGTACTAGAACTTTGACAAATATCATATTGCTCCGAATACATACTAAGTCTTCCTGTGTCGGAGTGAGTGAGCCAGTTACTAGATACTGAAGTTGATTTTGATTCCTGCACTAACCTTAATCTTCTTACGCTTAGCACCAGCTTGTGACGGCTGTGCTCTCTTAAAGCCTGAGGACGGTTCAAAATCAAATATATCAAGTACTGGGCGCTTACTTTTATCAACACTAGGTGCGGGCTTAGACTGATCAGAAACAGGGGTACTTAACTTAAAGATTACAAGACAGGCTGAACGTGAAAATTCTAGGAATGCATGTTTAGAGAGTAGATTAGACTTAGTGTTGGAAAACTCATAGTAATGATCGTCTAGACGTATAAAGCTTGAGTATGAACCTTGACCAGTCTTACTTACAAATGCTAGGGTAATCGAATTGAGCTGACTATCTGCATATTCAACATCGAAGTGTGTACGAACACCATTCAGCTGTTTGGTGTCGTCACACTGAGTCATGATTATGAAGTCGGTATTCGAGCTCAAGGATTCAACTATCGTACTAAGACCAATACCCATGTTCAAGGAAGTTGTCGCTGACATCTCAACCAGGACTCCGAGTTTTCGAAGGTCTGGGAGGAAAGCAACGGAAAAGATAGAGCAAGGGTCCGTGGTAGATCCATCAGCGCCCATAACTTGCTTATCAATTTCTTTCTTCATCCTAAAATGGGTTATCTGATCGTAGGAGGACTTACCTAACGCAAATGAAATAACTTCGTGGCTCAAACATTTCTCCTCCTTCAGAATAGGTTCACCTAAGTTACTAAAAGCAACAGAGTACACTCAGAATTAAAAGCAGAACTGTCATCAGAAGGATCCTGAAGAACAGGCGTTGGATGGGGAGATTTCAAATCACCAGTAGGTGGAGCATCAAAACGGGCTGATGTTGTAGATTTATCAACACCGTTTCGAGTCAGAATTCCCAAATCATCGACAACACACTCTTCTCCAGCATCTTTCTCAGCTATACGTCTGAATTTCTCATTAATGGCCTTGTTATGTACACTAGTAAGATAAGAAACAAATAAGATGTGTTGCTCAGGAGACATTTCATTACAAAAACTCTTAGTAAGTGCAAGCACGTGGTTTTGCTGCTCAACTACAGAAGTGTTCAAATAAGGAGCAAGATTAGTACACTTAACCGACCTTAGGTATGTATCAGAAAGAGTTTGATTAGACTCATGAAAGATATCAAACAGTGAAAGTACAGAAGTCATTAAGCTAATGGGATGAACAGTGTCATGATTATAATTGCCAATATCAAGCTCACTAGTTGTGAAGGTACTGTGGTTAAATAAAACTGATTTACGGCCATCCTTTAACATCTCAGATTTGGGATCCTCAGGGTCACCTAAGCGTCCTCTATGAGGTCTAAAGAAACCTGGATAGTGATGCTCCATATGATTGGCCCAAGTAGTGGCTATATCAGAAAAGTTAAAACTAGGTTGAACTTTGAAAGAAGTGACAAGATTGGCATAGTCTGAGACTGATTCAGGTAACGTGAGGAATTTAAGGCCATAACAAACACCATGACGACAAAATGCCCGTAACACACCTCCTGACTTACCAGAAATCTTAGTGAAATTCTTACGGATAACCGAGTATAACTGTGTATTACCCTCACTATCTATAGCCTAGCTGCCATATGAGCCTTACCACACGTGTATCTATGTTCAATGAATTACAAATATCCTTTAAGTGCTTATAAGAGTTTTTGGAATTTACTAACTGCTCAATACGCTCAAGAGGTAGCGTAATCTCCTCAGGTCTATCCTCAGAAATAAGGGACCTGGTGTAGGGATCTATACTACTGAAATTCTTGGAGCTAACTATAGGTGGAAGGGTCAGTCCTAACTTAACTGAAAAGTGCTCAAGATTCTTATTGAAATGTTGAGATTTATTATCTAGCAAACCCCTGGCCAAATTATGCCTAGAACAATTATCATGCAACAATGAGGAACTGCCATACTCATGATTGGTAATCTCACCAGGCTTTACGTCAAAACAGACACTACGGATAACATCATAAGTCAAGTACACAGGGAAGTAGCCACAACGATAACAATTCAAATGCTCATCTAGATTCAAGTCCTTAAGAGCCATATATGCTTTCACAGCATTAAGTAATAAATGGATGTTATAGGCCTGGTCAGTAATAACTTTCATGATATCAAAAAAGAGGAAAGGGAAGTGTTCTTGGTCCAAGCAGCAAGGGTAGCCTCCATAAGGGTAATTGAGAAAAATGAGTTATTATTATAATTAAAATATCCATCAGAATGCTCGGAATACCTATATTTCAAAGAACAACTAGGACAAGACTTAGTGATTACTTTAATACCTGTCTTCTTTTCATACAAAGTAAATATACAGCCACGATACTTATGTTAGAAGTTATAAGATCTATGTCACATTTATTACACTTAGTCTCTAGTGGAGAGAATTCTGACTTAGGCTTTATCTGCTTAAACTCACGAACGTCAAATGGTATCCTCTTGTTATCGAGAATATAATCCATCATCTGCTCAGCGAGTTCAAGTTCCTTCTCATCCACTTCGTCTTCAGGACGTGACTCACAAGCAAGGGATCAGTCTCCGAGACGAGGACAGCAATCTTCCTATGTATGCAGGATTTAATTCCACAAGCACACTTAGTAGTCTTCGATACTCTGTCATAAGTAACTAGTACACGACTTAACTTGCTATAGTATTTCGGTTTCTCATCACAGCAAACACACTATAATAAATAGCTCGAGGAGTTCTCGAATCATTCACCATAATGGGCACATATTGCTTGATGACAGGAAGACCAAAATCTGTAGCAGTTTTACAGAAAGCTTTAATACGATCCTCATCCTCCTTAAAACTGTCATATGACGTAACGTTATTCATTAAATCAGGAAGTAAAGGCAAGTTACGATTGATACAAGAGGACACGTGTTTACAAATGAAGCTAGGATTAAGACTGCCACAATGGAAATCATGCATATCTTTACAAAGGTCATCAGAGCATTCCCAGCCGTTCTTAGTGTGGACAACATGCACAGGACAAGCAAGACCTTGAGTACTTTTCCTCACGAGATAAGTTCCGGTTTTCACACAGATCAGCTCAGCTTGGAGAAGTCTCGAGGAAGTTTGATTTGTGCCAGAACTGGTAGAAATTGCATCTCCCGAATAACCTGAAGAGGTGTGCACTTTCTTACTTGTACAAGTCTTCAAGTGCTCCTCCATTCTAGGTAAATGTGCATGGGACTTATTACAAAATTTACAATGAAAATGTTTACGTTGAGTCGGAGAACCTGAAGAAGTCAATCTTACAACACAAGCGTCTAACATTAGCCAACACTCTCTTAAATCAGGACTAATAGGATTTACAGGGTTAGGACAGACATTGGTCGATTCAGAACTCTTGGAGTCAACAGTTACTGTTTCAACTGGATCACACGTACAGTTTGCCGGGGCAGAGCCGACTTCCTCAGAACGTGGTTCAACAGTTTGATCATGCACGGGGGTTGGCATTACAAAATTGAGACCCTTGGAACAGGTGGACATGTGAGTAAAAACCCTAGGAAATTGATGATAAAGATATGTTCCACAAAATAGGCAGTGAAAATGAACCTTCCTATCAATTTTGTACTTGAAATGATCCTTTTCTCGACATAACATCTTGGTTTTGTACTCATCTAAAATAGCCTTAACATCAGGGTCTGTAGATTTAAGCTGGGAAAGATAATATGCAACATGTTCAACTGTACCAAATCTGGGAGGTGTGGTGTGATTAGGGTCAACCGGCTGGATCCTGCTAACTCCATCGTCAGTACGTGACTGAGGTGAACAAGATGAGGCTGATGAGATGGGTGGATCAGATGATTTGGGTTGAGCTGATGATTTGGGTTGAGCTGACGATTTGGGTTGAGCTGATGATTTGGGTTGAGCTGATGATTTGGGTGGATCAGATGGTTTGGGTTGAGTTGATGATTTGGGTTGAGCTGATGATTTGGGTTGAGCTGATGATTTGGGTTGAGCTGATGATTTGGGTTGAGCTGATGGTTTGGGTTGAGCTGATGGTTTGGTTGGATCAGATGGTTTGGGTGGATCAGCTGATTTGGGTTGAGCTGATGGTTTGGGTGGATCAGATGGTTTGGGTTGAGTTGATGATTTGGTTGGATCAGATGGTTTGGGTGGATCAGATGATTTGGGTTGAGCTGATGATTTGGGTGGATCAGATGGTTTGGGTTGAGTTGATGATTTGGTTGGATCAGATGGTTTGGGTGGATCAGATGATTTGGGTTGAGCTGATGATTTGGGTCGAGGTGATGATTTTGATTGAGCTGATGATTTTGGTTGAGCTGATGATTTGGGTTGAGCTAATGATTTGGGTTGAACTGATGATTTGGGTTGAGCTGATGATTTGGGTTGAGCTGATGATTTTGGTTGAGCTGATGATTTGGGTTGAGTTGATGATTTGGGTTGAGTTGATGATTTGGGTTGAGCTAATGATTTGGGTTGAGGTGATGATTTTGGTTGAGCTGATGATTTGGGTTGAGCTGATGATTTGGGTTGAGCTAATGATTTGGGTTGAACTGATGATTTGGGTTGAGCTGATGATTTTGGTTGAGCTGATGATTTGGGTTGAGTCGATGATTTGGGTTGAGTTGATGATTTGGGTTGAGGTGATGATTTTGGTTGAGCTGATGATTTGGGTTGAGCTGATGATGTGGGTTGAGCTAATGATTTGAATGATTTGGGTTGAACTGATGATTTGGGTTGAGCTGATGATTTGGGTTGAGCTAATGATTTGGGTTGAACTGATGATTTGGGTTGAGCTGATGATTTGGTTGAGCTGATGATTTTGGTTGAGCTGATGATTTGGGTTGAGTTGATGATTTGGGTTGAGCTGATGATTTTGGTTGAGCTGATGATTTGGGTTGAGCTGATGATTTTGGTTGAGCTGATGATTTGGGTTGAGCTGATGATTTGGGTTGAGTTGATGATTTGGGTTGAACTGATGATTTGGGTTGAACTGATGATTTGGGTTGAGCTGATGATTTTGGTTGAGCTGATGATTTGGGTCGAGCTGATGATTTGGGTTGAACTGATGATTTGGGTCGAGCTGAAGATTTGGGTTGAGCTGATGATTTGGGTTGAGCTGATGATTTGGGTGGATCAGATGATTTAGGTGGTACAGATGAGTTGGGTGGTACAGATGATTTGAATGAGGGACGAGAGGAAGACAGTTCCTTAATACAATCTAGACGATGTTTGGAAATAGATGGATCAATCTTTACATAATCAGAAAACTTGGGCAAATCTATATCTGAACGTTTCAACTTCTTACTCTTAAACTTAGGTGCTTGCTCGAAATCCTCGTCTGAGTCGACAGAGGGTTTGACTGAACGTTTACGTGACTGATTATCTAACTTGGCACCTAGTTCCTTCCTATTCTGGATTACCTGTTCGGCAGAACAAATCATAACAGAGTACGACTTGTCTGGCCGGACTTCCTCAACAGAATGAAACAACTGGTCAGAGTATCTAACTAAAATCTTAGAACTTATGGAGGTGTGGAAACTTGCAACTATTCCATCTAATACTTTCTGGCTCTCCAAGAGATTAAACTTAAGAGACCTATCAGTTATTATGCAGCTATATAAATTTAAGAGAGCCTCTACAGAGCCATCCTTATCTAGTGAGCAGTGGTCAGAACATTCATAAACATCTAAAGTGTGCTTACAGGGGAAAAAGTGCTTAAAGAACAGTTGCAACTTATCAGATAAAGGAAACATGAACTGAACTAAGGAACTACAAAACAATCTAACGTGGGGTATCTTAGGACCTGACTTAAGATCAGAAATGAACACATAAGAACCACACTCTAACCGCAGTACTACAGAGGAGCACACGGTCAGGGGGTCAGAATAAGCATGTGATAAAGGAGGCAAAGCATCCTGGATATTATGATAATATACACCTAAAGATGAATCGAACTTGTGGGAGTCACGAATGAGCTCAACCACGGCTTTTACCTGAGATGTATCCATAGGGAGTAGTCGTGTTGACTGAGTTAGCTGTAAAAAACAGCCAATAAGTAAAACTCAGATAGGGAAAAGTGTAGTCAAAGAACTGGTTGTAGGAAACAACACAGTCAGATAGGAGTAGGAAGGGAGGACTCAGAACTAGTTGTAGAAAACAACGTAGTTTAGAGTAAAGTAGGCAAAGAAGACAGGCACGTAGCGTAAACTACAAAATAAAAATGTGTATTTGAAAGATAGAGCTTAAAGTCGAAATGTCAAAAGATTGTACTCAGTGTGTGAAATAGTAAACTGAAAACCGGGTGAGCTATATTTCGCGCGAGGGGTATTTATACCCGCTTCATCGTGACAGGGATAACGAGCCAATTGTTTACAAACAAGCAGCAAGCATGTGAATCCTTCTTGATAAGGTCAGATCACGTTTGATCGCGTGCAGGGTTCTTGTCTCCGATAGATCAGATCATTGTCTTCTAAGAAGATCATATCCTCGTTCTTGCCCCCTCCAGTGGATCTCATCATTACTCGATAAGCATCGGATCAAATGATTGCCTCAAAAACCGTATCATTTGGTTCCACAATCTCGGATACTCATGAACCAGCTTTTTGATACGGAAATGGAACCAAGTCTCTAGTGGGCGTTCTGGGAGTGCTAGGGCCACCAAACTTTGCAGGAACACTATTAGGGTCAATACCAAACGATTCCGATCTGTTTTGGGGCAATCCGACGAGTTTTAGAAAAAAAATTCATTTTTGTTCATTCCGTTCATTCCATGACTCAGGGAGCCTCTGGTGACAATTTTGACGTCAAAATAGTTAGTTAACACATCCCCCTACACCGTACAACCATTTCCAGCACTCTGAAACTACGTTAACAGACTGAAATGACCGTATCAAAATGCCTCAAAAACCGTATCATTTGGTTCCACAATCTCGGATACTCATGAACCAGCTTTTTGATACGGAAATGGAACCAAGTCTCTAGTGGGCGTTCTGGGAGTGCTAGGGCCACCAAACTTTGCAGGAACACTATTAGGGTCAATACCAAACGATTCCGATCTGTTTTGGGGCAATCCGACGAGTTTTAGAAAAAAAATTCATTTTTGTTCATTCCGTTCATTCCATGACTCAGGGAGCCTCTGGTGACAATTTTGACGTCAAAATAGTTAGTTAACACATCCCCCTACACCGTACAACCATTTCCAGCACTCTGAAACTACGTTAACAGACTGAAATGACCGTATCAAAATGCCTCAAAAACCGTATCATTTGGTTCCACAATCTCGGATACTCATGAACCAGCTTTTTGATACGGAAATGGAACCAAGTCTCTAGTGGGCGTTCTGGGAGTGCTAGGGCCACCAAACTTTGCAGGAACACTATTAGGGTCAATACCAAACGATTCCGATCTGTTTTGGGGCAATCCGACGAGTTTTAGAAAAAAAATTCATTTTTGTTCATTCCGTTCATTCCATGACTCAGGGAGCCTCTGGTGACAATTTTGACGTCAAAATAGTTAGTTAACACATCCCCTACACCGTACAACCATTTCCAGCACTCTGAAACTACTTTAACAGACTGAAATGACCGTATCAAAATGCCTCAAAAACCGTATCATTTGGTTCCACAATCTCGGATACTCATGAACCAGCTTTTTGATACGGAAATGGAACCAAGTCTCTAGTGGGCGTTCTGGGAGTGCTAGGGCCACGAAACTTTGCAGGAACACTATTAGGGTCAATACCAAACGATTCCGATCTGTTTTGGGGCAATCCGACGAGTTTTAGAAAAAAAATTCATTTTTGTTCATTCCGTTCATTCCATGACTCAGGGAGCCTCTGGTGACAATTTTGACGTCAAAATAGTTAGTAACACATCCCCCTACACCGTACAACCATTTCCAGCACTCTGAAACTACTTTAACAGACTGAAATGACCGTATCAAAATGCCTCAAAAACCGTATCATTTGGTTCCACAATCTCGGATACTCATGAACCAGCTTTTTGATACGGAAATGGAACCAAGTCTCTAGTGGGCGTTCTGGGAGTGCTAGGGCCACCAAACTTTGCAGGAACACTATTAGGGTCAATACCAAACGATTCCGATCTGTTTTGGGGCAATCCGACGAGTTTTAGAAAAAAATTCATTTTTGTTCATTCCGTTCATTCCATGACTCAGGGAGCCTCTGGTGACAATTTTGACGTCAAAATAGTTAGTTAACACATCCCCCTACACCGTACAACCATTTCCAGCACTCTGAAACTACGTTAACAGACTGAAATGACCGTATCAAAATGCCTCAAAAACCGTATCATTTGGTTCCACAATCTCGGATACTCATGAACCAGCTTTTTGATACGGAAATGGAACCAAGTCTCTAGTGGGCGTTCTGGGAGTGCTAGGGCCACCAAACTTTGCAGGAACACTATTAGGGTCAATACCAAACGATTCCGATCTGTTTTGGGGCAATCCGACGAGTTTTAGAAAAAAAATTCATTTTTGTTCATTCCGTTCATTCCATGACTCAGGGAGCCTCTGGTGACAATTTTGACGTCAAAATAGTTAGTTAACACATCCCCCTACACCGTACAACCATTTCCAGCACTCTGAAACTACGTTAACAGACTGAAATGACCGTATCAAAATGCCTCAAAAACCGTATCATTTGGTTCCACAATCTCGGATACTCATGAACCAGCTTTTTGATACGGAAATGGAACCAAGTCTCTAGTGGGCGTTCTGGGAGTGCTAGGGCCACCAAACTTTGCAGGAACACTATTAGGGTCAATACCAAACGATTCCGATCTGTTTTGGGGCAATCCGACGAGTTTTAGAAAAAAAATTCATTTTTGTTCATTCCGTTCATTCCATGACTCAGGGAGCCTCTGGTGACAATTTTGACGTCAAAATAGTTAGTTAACACATCCCCCTACACCGTACAACCATTTCCAGCACTCTGAAACTACTTTAACAGACTGAAATGACCGTATCAAAATGCCTCAAAAACCGTATCATTTGGTTCCACAATCTCGGATACTCATGAACCAGCTTTTTGATACGGAAATGGAACCAAGTCTCTAGTGGGCGTTCTGGGAGTGCTAGGGCCACCAAACTTTGCAGGAACACTATTAGGGTCAATACCAAACGATTCCGATCTGTTTTGGGGCAATCCGACGAGTTTTAGAAAAAAAAATTCATTTTTGTTCATTCCGTTCATTCCATGACTCAGGGAGCCTCTGGTGACAATTTTGACGTCAAAATAGTTAGTTAACACATCCCCCTACACCGTACAACCATTTCCAGCACTCTGAAACTACTTTAACAGACTGAAATGACCGTATCAAAATGCCTCAAAAACCGTATCATTTGGTTCCACAATCTCGGATACTCATGAACCAGCTTTTTGATACGGAAATGGAACCAAGTCTCTAGTGGGCGTTCTGGGAGTGCTAGGGCCACCAAACTTTGCAGGAACACTATTAGGGTCAATACCAAACGATTCCGATCTGTTTTGGGGCAATCCGACGAGTTTTAGAAAAAAAATTCATTTTTGTTCATTCCGTTCATTCCATGACTCAGGGAGCCTCTGGTGACAATTTTGACGTCAAAATAGTTAGTTAACACATCCCCCTACACCGTACAACCATTTCCAGCACTCTGAAACTACTTTAACAGACTGAAATGACCGTATCAAAATGCCTCAAAAACCGTATCATTTGGTTCCACAATCTCGGATACTCATGAACCAGCTTTTTGATACGGAAATGGAACCAAGTCTCTAGTGGGCGTTCTGGGAGTGCTAGGGCCACCAAACTTTGCAGGAACACTATTAGGGTCAATACCAAACGATTCCGATCTGTTTTGGGGCAATCCGACGAGTTTTAGAAAAAAATTCATTTTTGTTCATTCCGTTCATTCCATGACTCAGGGAGCCTCTGGTGACAATTTTGACGTCAAAATAGTTAGTTAACACATCCCCCTACACCGTACAACCATTTCCAGCACTCTGAAACTACGTTAACAGACTGAAATGACCGTATCAAAATGCCTCAAAAACCGTATCATTTGGTTCCACAATCTCGGATACTCATGAACCAGCTTTTTGATACGGAAATGGAACCAAGTCTCTAGTGGGCGTTCTGGGAGTGCTAGGGCCACCAAACTTTGCAGGAACACTATTAGGGTCAATACCAAACGATTCCGATCTGTTTTGGGGCAATCCGACGAGTTTTAGAAAAAAAATTCATTTTTGTTCATTCCGTTCATTCCATGACTCAGGGAGCCTCTGGTGACAATTTTGACGTCAAAATAGTTAGTTAACACATCCCCCTACACCGTACAACCATTTCCAGCACTCTGAAACTACGTTAACAGACTGAAATGACCGTATCAAAATGCCTCAAAAACCGTATCATTTGGTTCCACAATCTCGGATACTCATGAACCAGCTTTTTGATACGGAAATGGAACCAAGTCTCTAGTGGGCGTTCTGGGAGTGCTAGGGCCACCAAACTTTGCAGGAACACTATTAGGGTCAATACCAAACGATTCCGATCTGTTTTGGGGCAATCCGACGAGTTTTAGAAAAAAAATTCATTTTTGTTCATTCCGTTCATTCCATGACTCAGGGAGCCTCTGGTGACAATTTTGACGTCAAAATAGTTAGTTAACACATCCCCCTACACCGTACAACCATTTCCAGCACTCTGAAACTACGTTAACAGACTGAAATGACCGTATCAAAATGCCTCAAAAACCGTATCATTTGGTTCCACAATCTCGGATACTCATGAACCAGCTTTTTGATACGGAAATGGAACCAAGTCTCTAGTGGGCGTTCTGGGAGTGCTAGGGCCACCAAACTTTGCAGGAACACTATTAGGGTCAATACCAAACGATTCCGATCTGTTTTGGGGCAATCCGACGAGTTTTAGAAAAAAAATTCATTTTTGTTCATTCCGTTCATTCCATGACTCAGGGAGCCTCTGGTGACAATTTTGACGTCAAAATAGTTAGTTAACACATCCCCCTACACCGTACAACCATTTCCAGCACTCTGAAACTACTTTAACAGACTGAAATGACCGTATCAAAATGCCTCAAAAACCGTATCATTTGGTTCCACAATCTCGGATACTCATGAACCAGCTTTTTGATACGGAAATGGAACCAAGTCTCTAGTGGGCGTTCTGGGAGTGCTAGGGCCACCAAACTTTGCAGGAACACTATTAGGGTCAATACCAAACGATTCCGATCTGTTTTGGGGCAATCCGACGAGTTTTAGAAAAAAAATTCATTTTTGTTCATTCCGTTCATTCCATGACTCAGGGAGCCTCTGGTGACAATTTTGACGTCAAAATAGTTAGTTAACACATCCCCCTACACCGTACAACCATTTCCAGCACTCTGAAACTACTTTAACAGACTGAAATGACCGTATCAAAATGCCTCAAAAACCGTATCATTTGGTTCCACAATCTCGGATACTCATGAACCAGCTTTTTGATACGGAAATGGAACCAAGTCTCTAGTGGGCGTTCTGGGAGTGCTAGGGCCACCAAACTTTGCAGGAACACTATTAGGGTCAATACCAAACGATTCCGATCTGTTTTGGGGCAATCCGACGAGTTTTAGAAAAAAAATTCATTTTTGTTCATTCCGTTCATTCCATGACTCAGGGAGCCTCTGGTGACAATTTTGACGTCAAAATAGTTAGTTAACACATCCTCCTACACCGTACAACCATTTCCAGCACTCTGAAACTACTTTAACAGACTGAAATGACCGTATCAAAATGCCTCAAAAACCGTATCATTTGGTTCCACAATCTCGGATACTCATGAACCAGCTTTTTGATACGGAAATGGAACCAAGTCTCTAGTGGGCGTTCTGGGAGTGCTAGGGCCACCAAACTTTGCAGGAACACTATTAGGGTCAATACCAAACGATTCCGATCTGTTTTGGGGCAATCCGACGAGTTTTAGAAAAAAATTCATTTTTGTTCATTCCGTTCATTCCATGACTCAGGGAGCCTCTGGTGACAATTTTGACGTCAAAATAGTTAGTTAACACATCCCCCTACACCGTACAACCATTTCCAGCACTCTGAAACTACGTTAACAGACTGAAATGACCGTATCAAAATGCCTCAAAAACCGTATCATTTGGTTCCACAATCTCGGATACTCATGAACCAGCTTTTTGATACGGAAATGGAACCAAGTCTCTAGTGGGCGTTCTGGGAGTGCTAGGGCCACCAAACTTTGCAGGAACACTATTAGGGTCAATACCAAACGATTCCGATCTGTTTTGGGGCAATCCGACGAGTTTTAGAAAAAAAATTCATTTTTGTTCATTCCGTTCATTCCATGACTCAGGGAGCCTCTGGTGACAATTTTGACGTCAAAATAGTTAGTTAACACATCCCCCTACACCGTACAACCATTTCCAGCACTCTGAAACTACGTTAACAGACTGAAATGACCGTATCAAAATGCCTCAAAAACCGTATCATTTGGTTCCACAATCTCGGATACTCATGAACCAGCTTTTTGATACGGAAATGGAACCAAGTCTCTAGTGGGCGTTCTGGGAGTGCTAGGGCCACCAAACTTTGCAGGAACACTATTAGGGTCAATACCAAACGATTCCGATCTGTTTTGGGGCAATCCGACGAGTTTTAGAAAAAAAATTCATTTTTGTTCATTCCGTTCATTCCATGACTCAGGGAGCCTCTGGTGACAATTTTGACGTCAAAATAGTTAGTTAACACATCCCCCTACACCGTACAACCATAATTATCTATTTTTGATCCAAAATATAGTCAAAATAACGTTGGTTCCAAACCGTATCAAAACCGTATCAAAACCGTATCATTGGTTCCAAATTGGTTCCAAAATCTCGGATTCATGAACTCTTTGGACGATTAAAAGTTTATTTCATCCGTAAATTAATATTGCAGCTGTTGATACTTATGGAAATGTAAATGTTCCTTTAGTCTACAGTGAAAATTTTGTAATTTGTATTATGTTGACAATTTGGACACTCAATGGATACTGAAGCAAACTGTTCAAGGTATATTTAATGATCACTTTCCACATGATGAATGCAAACCTAAAGTCTCGTCCTCTTGTCTTCCCGACTTCTTACCCAAGGTGGAGTGGAGGGAGTTGGCTGCAGGGGAGCAGTAGAAGGGTGTCAACCCGAGAGAAGGGTGTCAACCCGAGAGAAGGGTATCAACCCAAGAGAGTATGTTTCCATGATCCATCCTAGCGTGGCCTAGTCTAGCGAGTTAGCTAGATATTCCGTTTGATCTATGTAACATTATGCCTCTATGTAGATGTTCTTACACCGTGATTGGGTGTCAAATGAGTAGCTGCTCATTCCAGCGAAGCCACAGGCAATAAATTATGGAATTGCATGTTTGAAAGTTGAGTAGTTAACAGAATATCTCTCTTTAGTTTTACACATATATCATGAGTAAAGGTAGTCTTATTTTAAAGATAAAGAAACAGTCAGAACGTAACACACATTGGGTGGCACAAATGCAAATTTTAGCCATTAATTTGCATTTTTCTTTCCCAAAGACATTCACCCAAACCTACTGATAAGATTAGTGTGGTCTTGACTGAATCTATAGGCTAATTCTGCACCAAATGAGCCCCTATAGACGATAGCCATTATTGTAGGAGCTTACGTCTAATCAAAATCAAATCTTTAACAAAATTAAACTCAATAATAGGTGCACTATGAAAGTGTTCAACTATTTGTATATAAAGATGTAGATAAACAAAAGGAAGGTGACATTGTAAACACTAGACTCAGTCAATTGATAAACATCTTTTAATCAGAATTTAGCCATGTTTCTGACAAGAGCGTCGTCTGTGGCACGCAGACAGAGTGC